CGTCATCGGCAGCCAGAGCTTCACGGGGATCTTCCGTCTGGGCGACGCCCAGCTTGGCAAAACAAGCCAGGAGCAGCCACACCTTAGCCCAGGGTCCCACACAGGAGTTGTTGCAGAGCTCCCTTTGCTTTAAATGGAATGAAAGGTAGAACTCAGCTGCAAAGTCTGTAGAGCAGGGGGTGACACCCCTCGGTTTTCGGGGGGCTCAGCAAGGACAAAGACCGGGGGACACGGGAAGCCGGCATCGTGTCCAACCTTTCCAGGTCTAAATGAAGTTACAAAAAGCACAGAAGCCTCCCGAGCTCCTTCCCACTATGCTCAACAGTTTAGCACGCCGAAGGCGAATCGCATTGACCGCCAGGCATGTAAAGCCCCCCGGTCCGGAAAAAACGTCTTCAAAGCAAGCTGCTCGCTTCGCGAGGACCGGCTGGCCGCGCCTGAAATGAAGCTCCACCCGCTTTGTTCTTAACCCTGTCAACCCCGTAACCCCCATAAACCCCCATAACCCCCAGAAAACCGTATAAACCCTATACCCCACCCATAAACCCCTCTTTGAGCATGCTGGGGCACAGCCGTGAAGGCACCCTGAACCCTTAGCCCGGGGGGGCTGAGGCCTATAACCCTCCTAGAACAGAGGCGTGGAAGACATACGTACATGCACACGTGTACTCCTAGATGCATGGGAGTGGTGCTTGTGCTTGGTCACTACACCCCCAGCTGCACAGGCGTTGACACGCCTCGCCTGACGCGAATTTCCGCGGGCCGCCAGGGCAACATGGCAAAGGATCCGGTGCAGGGGTGGGGCTAGCTCTCTTGCTAGGGCCTGGACATGGCGCAAGTTTCAGCGGTCGCACTCCATCGTGCTTTCCCCAGTCAGGTGGCATTGGGTTTAACCCCGAAGGCCCTGAACCCTGAACACTGCATCCTGCCGGAACCCTAAAGCTCAGAGGCCCTGAACTGTTCGTTCTTGCAACGGGCTTGGCCATCCGCCACTCCCAAACCCACCCGGTGGGGTCGGGGAAGCATGCGATGGACACTGAACCCTAAACCCTCTCTCGCAAACCCCTAAACCCTAAACCCTAAAACCCTAAACCGACTGTTGAGGTTCAGTCAAAGCTTCAAGACCAGAGCTCTAGCTCGAGAAAATCGGGCGCCTTCAGTGCGAAAGGGCCCCTTTGCAGTCTCCAATGGGGGGGCTTCTGATAGGCTTAAGGGCTTCCCCTAAGGGTTTAGTGTTTAGGGGGTGTAGGCTATAGGGTTTCTGGGGTATGTGGGGTTTAGGGCTTAGGGTTTAGGGTTTTTTTTCACTTAAACCCTGGGTTTAGGGTTTAGGGTTTAGGGTTTAGGGTTTAGGGGTTGAGGGTTTAGGGTTTAGGCTTCAGTGCCACGAACCCACAAACGCCTTTCAACGCTTAGCGGGCCGGAGTCGGCGGAAGTGGCTTTCGAGCGGAGATGCAGGAGAAGGCCCTGGCCATGACGTAGACCTGGGCTTAGGGTTTAGGGTTTAGGGTTTCGGGTTTCGGGTTGAGGGCCCAGGAAATAAACACGTCTATCTCTCTCTACTCGTAATAAGAAGATTTCTGTTTTTATCTGTGTATTATGATGCGCCAGCATGCGTTTAGGGCCTGTTAAAAGCCTAGCTACTTGCTCCGGAGTGGGTTCTGCAGCACTTGTGTTGGAAGCCTCATGAGACGCCCCCGGAGCCGACGGGTGGAATGCCGGCACTGCAAGCGCTAAAACCCTAAACCCTAAACCCTGATTGTCAGCGTCGGCGGCGCCTTCTTCATTTGCCGGAGCCAGTGTGCCAGCGTGGCCTTTTTCCGGATAGCTCTGGTCTCGGAGTCGTAAACCTTCGCTTTCTGGTGCAGAAGGGGGCCGGACGTAAGAACAGGTAAACAGGAAGAACAAGAAGCCATCTAGCCTGGCTACAGAAGCTCAGCTCAGAATATCTGAGATGCTGCCGAAAACAAGAAAATTGGCCCTCCAAGCCTCCGAAAAAAAAAATGCGCCTTCGCAACGCTTTGGCTGTGGCAGCCGAGGGGCCTGCTTCACCAGTTCCAAACACTTCCTGCAGAGCCAGGAAGTGCCAGTGTTCAGAGCCCAGTGCGGGGGGCAAAAGGGTTGAGGGGAAACTACTGGCATTCAAGATCCCACAGTACAAGAACACGCGACTGCACGCGACTTCTGAAGCCCCAACCCCATCTTTGCGAAGGCAAGCGTCTCATGGAGCTGCGGTGCCGAGCGCAGGGCATCCGCCACTTGGGCCGTCCACGCCTGCCGACCCCCACCCACCCCCCCCCCCCCCCCCGCGCCCGGAAACAAAAATGTACATAAAATGTACATGTAGCCGCAAAGCGCCCCAAGCTTCGAATACTTCCGGGAAACCGCCGTATCACCAGCCAGGGCGCTCGCAGGTTCTCTGGCAGTGGGGGCTTGTTGGGCCCAATCTTGAGGTCCAGGCGCCAGCGCTTCACCACGCCGCAGAAGTCCACGGAAACAGTGAAGGAGTCGGCCTGCGAAACAGGGCTTGCCGCTATAAGGACCTTGAACTTTAAATTTTTAAGCTTCCATCACCATGCAGTCTCTAAGGTGATGGGCTCCGTCGCGCCATGCCCTAAAGCGAAGCTCGCGAAAAAGGCTGGCCAAGAATGGCTCGCCCGACTCAGGCCCGGAAGCCACATTTGGACATACACGCACGCCGAACCTTGAAGGCACGCGGCGTGTCCTTGGCAATTGTGGTAATGCGCCCCGTGGACTCGTTGACCTGGATCCTTGGCCAGGTGACAAAGTGGCCAGCTCTCAACTTTAGAGTCCCTTTTCGCGGGGCACCTTTACTATCCTTAAAGGTCCGGTATCACAATGGGTTCCCTTGAAGACCGCCTGACTTGGAGAACTGAGATCCGGAACACGTCTTGTGCCCTAAGAAAAGTCCCATGACATTTCAGCCAACGACCTGCCTCAAGACACAGCCTTCCCTACTCAGAGTAGTACTCAGGGTAGTTCGGGCAGTTCCTTCCACCCTAAACCCTAAACCCTAAACCCTAAACCCTAAACTTTAGGCCCTAAACCCAAACCCAGGGGGGTTCGATGGGTGATGCGCATGCAAGGCACCATTCCGGCCCGGCGAGCTTCTCGAACCGGAGCCTGGTGTGGCGGAACCCTAAACCCTAAACCCTAAACCCTAAACCCTAAACCCTTTTTGCTAAACCCTGAGCCCTAAGCCCTAAACCCTAAACCCTAAACCCTAACCCTAAACCCTAAACCCTAATTTCCGATGGGGGACACTTCCATGGGTGCCTTTTGCATGGGCCTGCTAGAAGCCCGCAACCCTTCTGCATGCAGGCTACTAGCCCTAAGCCTTAATGACGCCGAGGCTCCCTAAATCCTAGTTTAGGGTTTAGGGTTTAGGGTTTAGGATTTAGTCGCTCAGGGTTTCGGGAATCCCTTACGGCAAAAGTCCACCAGAACAAGCGGCCCAGCAACCGAGGTTGATGATGTGGGGCTTCAACTCTGGCACTCATGACTTTTCCACCCACCTACGAGTAGCTGACCCTGAGAGCCACACCACAGGTCCCACAAGCCTGTTGTTGAGGGAAAGCACATTCGGTGGAGCCGGATAAAGTGCACAAACTAAACCCACAAGCTTTCCAGCGAAACTTCGAAGTGGAGAAAGTCGACACTAGGGGAGGAGCTGCCGAGAAAAAAAGGAAACACTTCTTACGTGGCCTAGGAGTTTGCAGAATGGATTTGAGGGGGGAAACGCTCAGCTATGGCTTTGTAGGGATTAGGGCTTCCAATTACTTCCAAATCAACCGAAACCCTAAGACCCTAACCCCTAAGAATCCTAAACCTACAACCCTAAGCCCATCCCCGAAAGAGTCCTGAGCGAGGCTTTCGGCTTGGGAGCCCCGAAAGTGCACTTGGAGGTTCAGGGTACTTTCTTACCAATTATAACTGCCACTTATAAGGCCCTTAACTGCCCTAATATGGCTATAATTTGGGCAATAAGGACAGCTAGAATTGGTTCATAAGTACCATGAACCTCCAAGTAAGCGGTTGCCATGCAGCGCAGCGGCGGTTCGAACGGACCGCCTGAGGAGTTTCCATCCTGGCTAAGGACTATGTGATGTATTTATATATATATATATACATATGATGTGATGTGTATATATATATAGCTGTATATTATGTTTGTATACATGTATATACACACATTCTAATGCACACACACACACACACACACACACACACACACACACACACACACACACACACACACACACACACACACACACACACACACACACACACACACACACACACACACACACACACACACACGTATATATATATATATATATATCACATCATACACATGTATATATATATATATGTATCACGTGCCACCCTGGATTTGTGTTTGGGGCTGAACCGCCCACAACTCGGACGAACTAGGCTAGGCTTCCATGTCCAGCAGGCAGGGTCAGGCGAACAGTGGCTAGCTGTCATCGAGCCACACCAACCACCGCGGCAAACTGCAAGCAAATGGCAGAGAATTGGGGCCGCGTCTTCAGGGCCTTTAGTGTGTTCGTAGCTCATGCTCTTTTTGGGGCGGGGTTGGGGTGGGGCATGGGGCGGGGGGGGGGGGGGCAGCGAACAGTTGAAGTCGGCCAGCAGTCATTTTCTTTCTCCAGGCTTTAGAGCCGGAGTTTGGAGTTTGGGGTTTTTGGTGAGAATCCCCACCACCCCCCCAAAGGACTGGCGGGAGTCACGTTGTCCAGATCCGCGGTGCTGTCGTCCAAGATGTACAAGGAGCGAAGGATGTCATGAGCTCCTCGCAGCAAGGGCGGCCCCAGGACTTGGGCCGGTGACACACGACTACGCGCACTGATGGCACTCAAGGCCGTCCCTAAAAGCATGAACGAGGAAAGCAACAACAGGAGGGCCACACATAAAGAACGGCGCAGCTCAACGGCAGGTTAAGAACAATCCCGAGAATGGTGCCGCCTTTGGGGTTTTGGGCTTTAGCCTTTGGGTTTTTGGTCCCTCGGGTTCGGGACTCAACGGAATCTCGGTATCTTTCTTCATTTCACCCTTTCAGACACGGAGAGACTCAACGCCGCAGTTCACAGACGCGGAAACCAAACCTTCTGCACGAAACCGGCCATCCGAAATGTGCAACTTGAGCTCTGGCCCAAGAACCGGTTACTTAAAAACCCAAAACCGCGCAAGAAGGCATCCTGAACCATCCCTCCAGGAACGGAACCGCGCCTGCTTCTAGGGCTGCCGCCAGCGGCAAGGGCGTCACGGCCTGCGCCGGCTTTTCTCTTTTGAAGAATCGAAACAGATTCTGAAAACCCTGAACCCTGAACCCTAAACCCCTAAACCCAAAACCCAAAATTCGTCCCCACCTGTGCTGTGTGAACCAGAGCTCTGGGCTCATCCCTTTCGAACAGTGAGCAGTCTGGGCAAGGCTCACCCTTGCGCGGGCTGGATCAACCACGAAAGCGATCGTTCTGGACGAACCCCACACCTTTCCAAGAGTTTGGCGAGGCAGCAAAATAGTTCTTCGGCCTTGGGCACTCTCCCGAATCCTCACGCCGCGCGCCCGCGATGTTTCTGGGGAGGTTTTTTGGGTGCAGACTGCGACGCAGGGAGCCCCCCTCCCCACCAACACTAAACCCTAAACCCTAAACCCTAAACCCTTGTCTGCATAATCTTCTTCTTAATCTTGTTCTTCTTCCTCTTCCTCTTCCGCTTCTTCTTGTTCTTCGTCGTCTTCTTCTGTCACTCTCTCCCTGTCTTTCTCCTCTTTCTCGCCCTCTCTCTCTCTCTCTCTTGATTCCTTCCTTCCTTCCTTCTCCCTCTGCACATAGTCCCCAAAAGCTCTACTTGAAAACTTTGAAGCGCACCGCCCACAAACCACTTCCAAGGACAGCTGGAAGGCTGTGATGAAGGGGATTAGCTGCAAGGCTTTCATGCGTGGCGCCACCATGGCCTCACTAGAGGCTTCCTAGGGTCTGCTTCGGGGTTGCGACAAGCCCCGGTTTCAAGGAAAAAGGTTCCGGGCACCGTCAGGGCTTCTGGGAAGATGTCACCTGCGTTGGCTTAAGTCACAGGCTGAGTCTGCGTGTGGAGGCCGAGCCTGTTGCCTGGAGGGGGGCTTGCTTTAAGTTTCAGCTCCACGGTGGACTTGCGCAGGAATGTCGTGCGCCGATGCATGCGCATGGCTTTGCTGCATCATGCGTCTATGCCGGATGCCATGGGCCTTTTGTGCATGTGTTCAAATCGTTGCGTTGCCTCGTAGAAGGGCCTTGCCTGGAAACCCCCAAACTTTCAGAAGCCTCCGCAGGCGCTTTCGCTCAACTGGTCGGCATGTGAGGCGTCGCAACAGAAGTAAATATAGAAAAAAGACACGATGGCTATTGTCAGCGCGACTAGAAAATTTAAAAACATCACGTGCTTATGTATTTACGAGCGTCGAGGCAGCGTCACGGTATGGCACAGCACTTCCCGAGACTTTTGGATGGTCACGGCCTGCTTCACGCATTGGACCACGATCATGGCCACCTGCATGTTAGAATGCTTCAGAGTGTTGCTGGTCCGCGCTCGGGCACCGCATCCCAGACCTTTTCTTCCCAAACGGAAGACCCGAGTACTGCCCACAACCCAACAGCTCCCTAAACCCTAAACCCCTCCAGAATCTTGTTCTGGAGCTTCCCTGCGCTTCCTGGGCTTCCCCGGGGCCCGCCTGGCTGGCCATCTGTCTCTGCCTGCGTTTCGGGTGTACTCATGACCAAAGAACCCCTTTTTTTAACGGCTAGGACTACCAAAAAGAACCCTAAACCCTAAACCCCTAAACCCTAAACCCTAAACCCTAAATGAAAGTAACTTGAGGCAACTTTGTTTTAGGCATGAGCAAACAAAGCAGTGGTCAGCAGGCTAGCAGCCTGGATCTCGTCAAAGCTTCAGTGCAACACCCGGACGAAAATGGCGCCTGAAACCACCTACTCCCCGTGGTTCAGCTGAGAATCGCCCCGGCACCACTCGAACATGCCCTCTCCTGAAACCGGCCTCAGCCAACCCAGATTCAAAGGTTCCACCCTCCCCTGCCTCTGGAAGCCAGTGACAGGGGGTTCTTTGCCAGCCGTAAATGGCTCGAAGAACGCTTGGCCAGACACCTCAATGCACGCAAAGGGATGCAGGAACTCATGGCATGTATACACACATATGTATATGCATAAAATATATACACGCAGAGCCCCCCCCCCCCCCCTCCCACCCCATGATCCACACCTATGGTCTTGCCCCTTTCGTGATATGGATATATGCGTTTTACTCGGGGAAATGCAATGAAAACTATACTTCGCAGCAACTGCGTTTAAACCACCAAAAAACTCGCAGCATGTTTAAGACGCATGTTTTAAGACTTGTGAACTGTATGCCGTTTTCGAGAACTTATCAGAAGACTGGTGACGTCTCACTAAAAGCAGCTCCTCATGAGACAGCAAGATTTCGCCTTCCCATGTAACGGCCAGACCCCCAACCTAAACCCTCACTCCTCCATGTTAGTATCTTTAAAACATGTTTGTTATTAGGGGAAGATTTCATGACACCCCACACTCCTCCATCATAAATTCCGAATATTCATTATCAGGGGAAGATTCATGACTACATGACCCACCACCCCGACCCCTCACTCCTCCACATGACCCCCCACCCCAACCCCTCACTCCATCTTAATTCCGTTAAAAGATGTTATTGTTAGGGGAAGATTTCGTAAGTACATGAAAACATAAGCCCTCACTCCTCTTCATTCGTCAAAGTACTTGGAGAAACGCACACGAAACTCGTACCTGATGAACATTATGGTAAATGATGATGATTAAATTCATAAGAATCGCTTAGAACTGGGTTCTGGTGCAGGTACGAGCCAACAGTGCTGTAAATACCATATTACTCGTGTGTAAGTGTCGTAGTATCCCCAACCGGAATCCGGTCAGCCAAGTAGGTACGATAGTTGCGCTGTCATGCACAACCGTACTCGTGACGAAGCCCAGAATTAGCGGTATTTACGGTGTTTTCAAGAGGCCTCAAGCACAGCAGTGGACGAATGCATGTACAAGAAGAAGGGCAAGAAGCTGACAGGTAGGTCTTGGGCGGGGGGGGGCGGGGGGGGGGGGTGACCATACATATACATATGTATAATATATATATATATAGACACACAGATTTTCTATGTGCATGTATTATATGTGTTGGTTTATGTTATATATATATATAATCCTCCAGCTGCCCCATCTCTATACTCCCCTTAGAACCTTCATAAAAACAATATTTTACATGTCCTCTTGCGTTTCATATGGACAAAGCGACCAACTCAAAAAAAGCGTTTCATATGAACAAACATGTAAAAAAAAAGTATTCCAATAAGGACATCTGCCCCCCAAGCCTTCCAAACATGACACGAGGCCATTCTTGCGGCCCGGCGGCCTGTCCCCTGACTCTCAGCATCTGCGTCTGGACCTCCAGGTTCCTAGACCCCGGGGTTTAGGGTTTAGGGTTTAGGGTTTAGGGTTTAGGGTTTAGGGTTTAGGGTTTAGGGTTTAGGGTTTAGGGCTTCGGGTTTAGGGTGAAGCAACGGCTAGGAACCCTAGACCCTAAAAGCTAAACCCTAAACCCTCACAGATTGCGGCTTCTTGGGGCTTTTTCCTCCGTTGCCGACGAAAGACAGCACCCTAACACAAAGGATGATCTACCACCGGACCAACATTCGCGCAGCAGCCCCAGGGAAATAGCAGCATCTTTCCTGTTTTGCATGTCAGGAAAGCCCCCTAAACCCTAAACCCTTTTTTACGGCCAGGACTGCTGCACTGCCTGCCCACCTTCTCAGCACCCTTGCAGAGGCTTCATACAGGGCTCAGCCCATGCATGGCATGCATACGGCACCACGCCGAAATTCATGGCACTGTCATTCTGAACAAATGTTGTCAGCGTTCCTCCCGCCACTGTAGCGTCCTAACCCTCAACCCTAAACCCTAAACCCTAAACCCTAAACCCTAAACCCTAAACCCTAAAACCCTAAACCCTAAACCCAAACCTCAAGCCTGGGAATGCTTGGCGGCAAGGGCTTTGACTCTTCTTCTGACTAGTCTGGGTCGTCGGCCTCCTCGTCTAATGACCATTTTGTGCGCCGAGGCGTGGACTCCCGTCTCAACCCATACGGTCCCAATAGGCTATTCAAGCAGCAGCACATGCGGCATAGTTTGCGGCCCTGCAAGCCCCTTTCAATTCAAGCGACATGTGCTGTTCTGCTCCGAACCTTGTGCTTCGTAGTGCCTCTGCCATTTGAGTTCCCGCTGGCAGGTTGACTGCCTTCGGCCTTACAGTCTAGTCACTTCAGAAATATATTCAGTGTAGGCGTGTGCCACGACTTCTCGCCGTACAAGCCTTCAGCGCCTGCGTCCCCTAGATGAACATCGCGGACCTTTTGCACTCCCCTCCCGCCATTTTTCCCTCCTCCGAGCATCAGGGCCCGCCCCTAAACCCTAAACCCTAAACCCTAAGCCCTAAACCCTAAACACGTGAGCTCAGCGCGCCTTGAAGCCGTTGATCGCTCGGGCGATGGCCTGGTCCCTCAGGGAAAGCCAAGCCAACGCTTTGCCTCGGGAACTGGCTCGAGACGTGGGACGCCGCAATGCCGCACACCCTATCTCCCACAAGTGCTCTCAGTGTCAAGTCAGAGAGCTGCATAAACCAACTCCTATTTCTGAGGGTGGAAATCTCCCTAAACCCTAAACCCTGAACCATAAAATCTCCCCTGAAATACCTCGTGCTTTGAGCAGGCAGCCATGATCCACCGCCTCGCCCACATGCCAATCTTCCATGCACCGGCAATCCTCCACAAGAAGTCCGTCTTTGCATGACCCCCAGAATGGCCTAGAAAGGACAAGAGAGCTGGACATCCCACCTCTGGCACACCCGCCCCCCCCCCCCCCCCCGAAATCTTCCGTGATCTTCCATGCAGGGTCCTGCATGCAGCAGCCAGGAGGCATCGCCGGGACAAAGCCAGGCGCATAGTCCCCTAGAAAGGCAGCAGCCCGACTAGTCAACTGTGACAGCCACCTCTGCCTACAGGCAAATCATCAGCAGCTCTTCTAGAACTTGGGAGCCCCCTTAGAAGCCACAAAGGCTTTGGAGAAGTGACCCATATCGTGGCTCATGGCCAGAGAGCTCAACATCCCCGAATCCCGCGGGGGGCCTTCAGACTTGGGCCAGCCTTCCTTGATTCTGCCCTTGTCTTCCTGCATCCACGCGCAACGTGAGCTTGGCGGGGTGAGGTGAAGCTATGAGGCCGGGAAGCGAAGCCAGTGTTGGGGGCTTCGACGACTAGGGAGGGGCCCCTTTTGTTGGGGAGGATGCCTTCATGGAAGCTCATGCTCCATTCTGGCTCTATCTGTCTCGCTTCTGAAATACAGGGCTTGTGCCGTATCCTATAGGGCTTTAGGGTTTTAGGGTTTCAGGGTTTTAGGGTTTTTTGGCTTTTGGCTCCATATGTCTCGCTTCTGAAATACAGGGCTTGTGCGGTATCCTAAACCCCTCTGTTTTTGCATCTGGACTGCAGGAGCCAAACCCTCAACCCTACGCTGTTAACGTGCTCTATCCGCAGTTGCTACTAGTACTGTTCTGCTTCGTATGATACTTATTGTGCCTATTCTTATGAAGCTTCTTATGTTTATTAGCACTAGCACCATTGTTGCTAGCACAACTATTCTTGATGATTATGGTTGCCACTCGAAGCACAACACCCAAATAGCGCGCACGATGAAGTCATCTGTGCACATCTCAAACACTGCTCCCAGACCCTCCTTTTTCAATGCAATTGTGCCGGCGAAGACCCCAAACAGCAAGATTGTAGAGAAAGGGAAATCGCGTAAAACAAAAAGGCGACAAAAAACTTGACACGTGTTTAGGGTTACCCTGCGCCCGAAAGCCTGTGCTGTAGCGTAATCGTGGCCCTATAGCCCGCCTGCATTTTAAAAAGGTTCCAGAAGCCCGGGCTGGTAACGTAATCGTGGCCCGATAACCCGCCTGTACTTTAAAACGGTATAATAAAATAGCATTTTTCCTTTCATTATTAGTAAAGATTTCTATGGAAAGATATTAATTCTCTATCTATATCTTCTTCAAATTCATTTCGGCTTCTCTTCTTTCTCACATCCAGATAATGCATTAGAAGCATGTGGATTACTTACTCCTTTACATATAGTACCTGAATGGCATTTCTTATGCCAATATGCTATGTTAAAAGCTGTACCAAATAAAAATGCAGGATTCATTATCTTATTTACTTCTATCTTCATCCTATTTTACTTTATCAGAAGTCTTTCAATGTCCTTCTATTTTACAATTAAGACGTCCAGTAGATTTAATGGTATTTATCTGTGCTTTTGGTTTCTTTCACTTTTTCTTTTATTTGGATAGGTGGTCAATTTCCTGCAGACAACTTTCTATCTTATGGTCGTATCTTGACCGTACTCAAATAGCACCCAAGTCCCGGGGACCAGGCATGTTCAACTAGCATCCTGCTTTTTAGGGCCCGAGCGTACTCAAACGTGTTCAACTAGCATCCTTTTTCGGGACCAGCATACTCAAAGGGGACCGGGTGCGTTCAACTACCTTTGTGCGCGTAGGGTTTGCTCGAAGTTTGTCGTATGTCCCGCTCGTAGGGTGACGTCGTAAGCAACTAGCAGCCCTTCTGTGCCCTGTTGACCAAATAGCTCGCGCCACGCAGGGGGAACATCTATGGTGTTTTAACACTTTAAAAACGTTTTCATGGCTAGCGTTCTGCGCCTAAAAGCCTGTGCTTGTAGCGTAATCGTGGCCCTATAGCCCGCCCGCAGTTTAAAACGGTTCCAAAAGTCCGTGCTGGTAGCGTAATCGTCAACACGCTCGGTCCCCAAGACATGGGTGCTACTTGAGTATGCTCAAACAGCTCGGGCCAGCCTCCTGGGGGGGTTTCAAACGTTCTAGAACCTTTTCGCAGAGCAAGCAGAGTTGTGTAAATAATGGGCGCGGACCAACGCAGACCCCGTGTTTTCTTTTTTTTTGCAATCAAAGACACAAGCGCCGACCATGGAAACATCGAGAAAGCGTGCGCGGATTGGTTTCCGGGCATCTAGGAAACACAAAGGTTTACAAAGAAGCAAGAACCGTCATGCCTCGGAGCCTCGCGCCCATGGTATGGGGAGGGGGGGGCACTGGCGCGAGCTGTTTGGTCATCGGGACGCAAATGGGGTGCTATGGGTGCTACTTCCTTACGATGAAACCCAAACCTGTGCTGGTAACGAAATCGTGGCTCCATGCGGGTTGTGAGGTGGTTTGTGCTCGTAACCGTGGCTCCACAAGGGTTGTACATATGCCCCTGGAACCAGCCCTGAAAACTTGTGTCTTAGCGTGTGCTAACGTGTCAAAACCCCATGGATGTTTCCCTGCGACCAAATACTTGCGCCATGGCGCGAGCTATTTGGTCATCAGGGCGCAGATGGGTGCTAGTTGGTTGTAGGGACGAAACGTGCAGCAAACTTCTAGCGTCCTCATCAAACCCTACGAGCACGAAGGGAGACACATACGACAAACCCCTAAAGGATATGTTTTTATTTCTTCAATGTTCTGAATCCCAAAGCTGGGGTGCTGTTTGAGTACACTCGGGCCCTAAAATGCAGGATGCTAGTTGAACCGCTCGGTCCCCAAATCTTGGGTGCTATTTGAGTACGCTCGGTCCCCAAAAGCAGGATGCTAGTTGAACACGATCAGTCTTTTCGCACACACAAGGACCAACCAAGACGCCTCTCTGAAACCTTCAAACCTCGCACGCGCGGCCCTTCAAGCACGTTATGGTTTTAGGGCTTTCAGGCTTAACCTCGAGGGGCCCTCACCGTACGAGCACGAAGGGGACATGCAACAAACTTGAGGGGCCCTCAACAAACTTTACGAGCACGAAGGGATGGTACATACGACAAGCCTCTAAGGGATATGTTTTTACTCTTATAGTGTTCAAAAAGTGCAAACGTTAGGAACAACATAATAGGTTTTTGCCCTTGTATAAAACCTTTTCGCAGAGCAAGCAGGGCTTTTACCCAGCTCTTCTTGCTCTGCGAAAAGGTTTCAGAAGGCGGTTTAGTAAATGGAGATGTTTATCCCTTGCATGCTGGTAACGCAATCGTAGCTCCAGAGGGTGTGCAAGCGCAAAAACATGCTCTGTTTTCCCTGCTTCTTGGGGACCGAGCGTACTCAAATAGCACCCAAGATTTGGGGACCGAGCGTGTTCAACTAGCATGCTGCATTTTAGGGCCCGTTTGTACTCAAACAGCACCCCAGCTTTGGGAGTCAGAACACTGTAGAAGTAAATACGTGTTTTTTTGCAGGTTTGTTGTATGTCCCCTCCCTTTGTGCTCGTAGGGTTTGGTGAGGGCCCTCGAAATTTGTCGCACGTCCCCTCCCTTCGCGCTCGTAGGGTGACGTCGCAAGCAACTAGGACCCCAGATGCGCCCTGATGACCAAATAGCTCACGCCATGGCGCGAGCTATTTGGTCGCAGGGGAAACATCCATGGTGTTTTAACACGGTAAAACACAAGTCTTCACTTCGCGCTCGTAGTCTGACGTCGCAAGCAACTAGCACCCCTTTTGCGCCCAATAGCTGGTGCCATGGCGCGAGCAAATTGGTCGCAGGGGAAACGTCCATGGTGTTTCAACTGTTTCAACATGTTAAAACACAAGTTTTCAGGGCTGGTCGCAGGGACATATTCACAACCCTTATGGAGCCACGATTACGTTTCCAGCACCATCTCAATGTACTTAAACCACCTCCTGTCGGGACGTGTTTTACTGGTCGCAAGGACAACCCATTATAGAGCCACGAATACGTTACCAGCACAGGTGTTTGGGTTTCATCGTAAGCAACTAGCACTCCATCTGCGCCCGATGCCGGGTTTCAAGTTGGGCTTTCACGTTGGGCTCAACGGGGGCATGTTGCCGACTGTTGGCCCGGGTTTCTTCAAGTTGGGATCGACAGCGGCATGTTGGCCGGATCCGGGTTTCAACTTGGGCCTGAAAGGGGCATATTGGCCGGATCCGGGTTTCAAGTTGGGTTCATCACGGGCATATTGGCCGGGTCCGGGTTTCAAGTTGGAGTCACCAGGGCCACGTTGGCCGAGTTTCAAGTTGGGCTCGAAAGGGGTACGTTGGCCGGATCCGGGTTTCAAGTTGGGCTCGAGGGGGATGTTGGCCGGATCCGCACCGTGGGAGACCACGGACCCAACCGAGTGACACACATCTAGCCAAGCGCGTGACACTTTTATTTTCTGAGGAGAGGACCCCAAACGGTTCCTGTTGGGGGAAAACTGAGGCCGGAACGCCTGCCTAAACCCTAAACCCTTCTCCCCTAAACCCCCTAGCCCTAGACCCTAGCCCTAAACCCTAGCCCTAAACCCTAGCCCTAAACCCTAGCCCTAAACCCCAAACCCCCCCAAAAAAATAGGCCACCAAAACCAGAGGGCTCCTCGGAGATCTCAACCTTCAGCTCCTCGCGAAGCCCATGGATCGCCAGGCGGCTCAGGTCTTTGAACGTTGCCTCACCACGCGGGTTGGCTGGACTCAGGTTTAGGGTTTTTCTGGGTTTGGGGTTTAGGGTTTAGGGTTTAGGGTTTGGGGTTTGGGGTTTAGGGTTTAGGGTCTTTTTTGCCACCCGTCTTAGAGTTGAATATTTAGGGATCCCTTTTCGGATTCCTTTTGGGTTGGGTTTTGGGTTTTTTAAGCACGATCTAGGGATTACAGGGGATCATATTGGCAAGTGCTTTGGCTCCTACATTGGCCGGATATCGTCGGAAATGGAGCCTTCGCCAGCAGCGCAGCATCTCCGTTTGCCATCCGCTTGGTGCCACGCGTTTCCACCTTGATGGTGCTTGCGATGGCTGTACAAACCCTCTAGTGTCGCCTAACACGCTGGTCGAAGAGCCTTAACCGCCCTAGCCTTAGCAGCATCACGACATCATGCCGCGCATGCGTAGATGCCGCAGCTGCCCGTAAGACTTGTCATAAACCATCCTTGGCTTCGCTTCGACAACCCTGTGCGCTGCAGGCCCTGTTGGCCTTGGGGTCATCCGTCTGCAAGCTCGGATGGCGCGTCACCTTTGAAGGGCATGGAAAGTTCAACACAAGGAATACGGGACCAGACAATAGCCCCTTGCAGGTTCATGGGTTCATGGCTCTTATATGTCGATTTCTAAAGTCAGCCGCACCATCATGGGCACTTAAGCTGACCATCATGGGCGCTTACCGAAAACCTCGTGTCACAGAATGGCCAGAGCCTTAAACCCCAGAGCCGAGCCCACCTTGCGCTCGCGCTCCTTCTGCGCCTCCAGCCACCTCTTCTTCGCGGAGATGCGCAGAGCCTGACAGGATTCGATCTCCAGGAGTAGTTTTGGCTCATTTTTGGGACCATAAAAAGAAGCGAGCCGCATGAAGCAGCTGGCTCCTACCCCCCAACAGTTTGGCCCAAGCAACATCGAGGTCATCCGGCAGACACTCCTGGGGCCAAGCAAGACCCTCCGAGAGCGGAAGAGAACCCCGGATGGAAAGCTCTCACGAAAGTCACCTCCCTTTCCCAACATGGGGTTTACGAGAATGGGGGACCCAAAATGTCACCCCAAATAATGGGATTCCCGTATAATACGGACCCCAAAAAAGGCGCCCCTAATGACGGAAAACGCAAATAGAGCTCTCCATTGAACTTGTTTTTCCAAGCCTACGCTTTGCACTCTCCGGGACACCAAACAAACCCTCACAATCCTGCCACAATCCTCCAGACACCATGAAGGCGTGTGCAACATCCTACGTTGCTCGGGAAGGTTGAGTGCCAGAGAGACATGCTCGATGCACCAGGGAGTCGCTTGACACACCTATGTAGTAGACATGTACCCTCAACCCTAAACCCTCAACCCTGAACTACCTAGCTGTGCTACTAGTAGAAATAGCTCACTTTAGACTTCCTGAGAACTGGCAAGGCACGTCAGGCTCCCAGGTGCACTTTGGAAAACCAGGCTCGCCCTGGGGGGTGTCTTCGTAGCCTTGGTTTAGGGTTTAGGGTTTAGGGTTTAGGGTTTAGGGTTTAGGGTTTCCAGGGTTTAGGGTTAAGGGTTTAGGGTTTAGGGTTTAGGGTTTAGGCTTTAGGGTGTTTCGCCAGCCGCACTGCACGCACATCGGTTTAGGGTTTAGGGTTTAGGGTTTAGGGTGGGGATGCGATGGGCGAAAGGGGTCAAGGAGAGAAGCTATCCCAAACATGGCCTACCCCGAAGATTGGCACGGGCCATGCCGGGCCACTCTCCATCGTCAGCGGCACGCTCCACTGCACCAGATAGAAATCCTCTTCTTCTTCTTCTTCCGTCTCTTCTTCTACTGGGCATCTCTTCTTCTACCGGGCTTCGAGGTCAGGGCGGCCCCTTCCCTGGACTTCGGGTGCGCGCTCTCTCTCACAGGAAACGGAACCTGGCGACAGAAAACCTTGACTGTTTGGACCCCATCAAACACCATGAAGGCACTGGCCCGAAAACCCTAAACCCTAAACCCTAAACCCTAAACCCTAAACCCTAAACCCTAAACCCTAAACCCACCCGGTCCTGGTAGAGCCCACACTTGGGGTGGACGAAAGCCTCCCAGGGCGGGAGGTACCTTTCGATCCGATCCACCTCAATCCAGGGAGAGCTCTTAAGCGACCCAGTTTGAGACCTCGCTCTTGGGATGTTCCCCCTTGTACTAACAGCCCTTTTTAATCCGGATAATAATGGGCGGAGGGGGGATGAGGGGGGTGGGGGGGGGGCAATATCATCCCTATAAAGGACTGCTAGCAGAAGGGGAACAAACATCCGAGCCTCAATTCCACATGATACTCCAAGAAAGCTGCCGGCCCAGGTACCTATTCAGACGATGCTGCGCAATCGTATGCCACCTCCCTGCTTCTGAGGCGCGGCGCAACAAGAACAACAAAAATGGAAAAAGGGAGCAGTTCATGCCATTCTTGAGGCACCTAGTAAAAACACGGGCCTGCTGGAGCTGCCATCCCAAACCCTAAGAACCCTCTTTTTGAACCCAGGCTGGACGAAAACCCTCAACCCTAAACCTCAACCCTAAACCCCAAATAACCAAGCGGGCTCACAACCTCGAGAACCGACCTACCAATTGCTTAAGAACCCCCAAAGAAACCCAAACATTCTTCCTTATAAGGGCAATATAGGGATTACTTAACCCTAAACCCGAAACCCTTTTTTGCTACTGGACTGAAGGCAAGCCAGACTCCCATAACCCGAACCCTAAACCCTTAACTCCAAACCCTAAACCCTCTCTTTGAATTTGTTTCTTTATTTATATACATATATATATATATATTTATAGATTTATTTATTTATTTACATACGCATACACATATACATAAATATACTGTGAGAGAGAGAGAGAGTTTGGGGGGGATTCTTCAGCAAAACACGGCGACTTCGGAGGGCCTTGTACCACCCCGGTGGCGGCGCGTCGGCCTCCGGAAGCTGGCCATCCTCGGGTGGCGCTCTTTTCTTATTTTGTTTTCGGTTGTGCCTCCTCAGGGTTTACGGTTTAGGGTTTAGGGTGTTTAGGGTGTTTAGGGTGTTTAGGGTGTTTAGGGTGTTTAGGGGGTTTAGGGTTTAGGGTTTAGGGTTTAGGGTTTAGGGTTTAGGGTTTAGGGTTTAGGGTTTAGGGTAGCTCAAGGCTTAAAGGCCTTGATGGTTTCGGGGTTTCAGACCTCAAGGGCTCTCAAAACGCAGGCTGAGGGCCCTGAGGCCACACACGCGTGAAGGGATGCGGGTCCATTTCTGGTCCAGGGATTTCTAGGTGGGGCTTTTAAAGCCTTTGAAAAATATCAGTAGATAAGATCCTCTTAGGGCCAATAAGGGAAAATAGAAAATGTCCCAAAGCCCTACCTAGATTTGCTTGCTCTCAACGCCGACCCAACCCTGAAGCGGAAGAGGATGCCGCTTCAGCGTCGCAAGCTGCCGGCACCGAGTCCAACATCTCTACTTGCGGTGGCCTGCCTTTGGCAGGGTTTGGGGGGGCTCTACCAAAAGCCCGAAACCCTAAACCCTAAACCCGAAACCCTAGACCTTTGAAACCACTTCCAACTCGGAACTCTCCAGGCCAGTCTCATCCCGCAGCGGAGCTCGCCGGTGGGCTATGACACGGCCCTGTGGGAACTCTGCGTGGTGCTTCGGGCGCGGGAAAGTCTACTTGAAGGTTCATGGTACTTATTAACCAATTATCACCCTATTAGGGCACTTAAGGGGCTTGTAAGTGGGTTAGAAGTACAGCAAAAATAAGTAGAGGGTGTCCAGGGCTCAGACCACATCCATAAGCACATCACGAGAGAAGCCGTCATCAAGGTCTGCTTTAGGGAAGGCGCAAAAGAAGTAATGTGTGCTTGGCCCTGGTTCCTTGCAAGCCTCATTGCTTTTTCGAAACCCTGTCCGTAGAGGATACTGCCCCGAAGCGCAACACAGCCTTCTCGTGACATGCTACACCCTGTCGCAGCCCCATGTTTAAAGGGGCTCCCCTCTGCCCACACTGGCCTCGCGTGTAACGAAGTTAGGCCCCGTGACAGCAGCATTCAACAGCTTCTTGCTGACATACAAGCTGGCGCTGATGTTCCTCTGCGACTTCTCCTTCTGAAACGTCTCGCGCAGCTCGGTGACCCAGGCACAGGCATCCTCGTTCTCATTCCGCCGGTTCAACTCCTCCAGGACCAGGAGGCCCTCATACCAGTCCAAGATCAAGCCAGTCTTGACCTTGATGCTTGCCATGCCACCTGAGTTGCCGTGTTCCTTGATCAGGGCCGTGCCGTCCTGGCTGTCTGCGACGAAGGTGGCCGGGGCCAGCCGGTAAGCTTTCTTGCCCCAGAGGCCTTTCTCCAGCCGAGCCTCGTGTGCGTCCGCATTGTGGGGCAAGGCGGCCGCATCGCGGGTTCCTTTCGGCGCATGTTTTTTTTTGATATGGTGGGGGGGGGGGGGGGGGTTTTGCCTCTAACTCCAGATGATGGTCCCCTGTTTTTGGGTACCCTAACATCAAGGGCCGGCCTTAGAATAGTGGCCATAGTGACCCCGGGACCACAACTTCGAGAAGTGACCAGACATGCTTCTTCTACCAGTTGCTTAAGAACCCCCCCAAAAAAACAAACATGTGTCTTCCTGATAAGGGCAATATAATTTCATTTTTTGGGGAGGCCCTTAGGCAAATAGTAGTGCTTCGTATGTTCAGGGCCCCACCTGAGGGCCGATCTTCGGCTTTCCCAGTTCTCGGCGGAAACCATACCCAGCAGTTCCCTCCCCGCTCGGGGAGGAACGGGTTCTTGTCCTTCTTCTGCATGGCCATGGCGGGTTGGGACCACGGCCACCCCTGCAAATTCCTAGGAAAGGTAGGTGCTGCGCCTGCTACACCTCGAAAATTCTGAAGCGCGTACTTGTTTGGCGTAAGAATGCTGTGAGGCGTTCCGGCTTGACCGATGCATGCACGATCTAAACCTCGGCTGCGCCTAGTGACTTAGTTCGATGCATACGGCCTATGCACAATGAGTTTCTGTCACGACGCATCCCTGCGTGTAGCCAGCTAGGCGGCTAGATCATACGGTGCTTGCATCAAAATGCTCAGCCGTTGCCAGATCGTACCGCGGGCAGCGACCCTTGACCAAGAGTCTGAACCGTCTGCTGAAACAACCTGGGAAAGGCGCCCTCCCAGTTTACAAGACCACTGAAATCCCTGAACCTAAGTTAGTTGAAGGGCTGCTGTGACCCGGAGCTCTGTATGAATCACATTTGGCTGTTTCCCTGCTGAATGCTGCCGACCTGGCACTTGATGAGCCTCCAAGATCTAAGCTCATCAAGCATCCTGCTCTCTCAGCCAGAAGCCCTTCAGAGATGCAACAATGGCACATCTGGCACAGACGAGCACCGCAGCCACTCGCCAGCGCTTTGCCCGCTGTGGGCACCACGTGCCCTCGCATGATCACGACTCGCGCGCCAGGCAGCGGCGATGGTGGCCGCCGGTGAACGCCGCCGGTCCTCGAGCCAGGTTGGGGGTTTACGATCATCGGGGGCCCCAAAAAGTAGGATCTCCTGATAATAAGGACCCCAATAAAGTACTCCTAACGTACTTGAACCCATGGCAGTGCACGAACTTCTGCTCACCAAGAGACCGCAACTCTAGAAAACTGACTGTAATAGAATAACCTGTGCAAACCCTGCTTGAGGGTTCATGGCACGTATCAACCAATTAGAACTGCACTTAGAACCCAAACTATCACCGTTTTAGGGCACGTAAGGGGCTTAGAAGTCCTGTGCCTTCACAAGCATTTTGAGCCGCTCCCCCTTCTCCGGCAAGATTCCTTCAGCAATACCCCGACAGACAGCTCCCTTTTTCTGGCAGCCCCCTTCTTCTGCGGACTACAGGATGCAAAGCCTCAACGACACGCCTGAACAGCTCCTCAAACCTTTCAACCCTGAACCCTCATTCAGCCCATAACTAGGAGCCCTACACCCCGTATGAAGGAGTCCCAACCGAAACTATGAGAACAGCGCACCGCTCCCTGCAAGCCTCAGCGGTGGTAGTGGGAGCCCGCGGCCAGCTCTCGCGCCCGAAAGATCTTCCAGGGGCATTCTGCGGTTATCTTTGTTTTTGACATGCTACGATATCATCATACTATCCCATGTTAGTGTATCCTCTTGTCTCGTTACAGCACTTTCCTTTTTTGTGTTGTTATTCCTTATGCTACTCAGATACTACGCTGTTCTGATACCGTTTGGTTTAGTAGGGAGGTTAAGAATACAAATCCTGTTCGCACTGCCCAGTGCCGGGCGGAAAGAGCTCCTAGGCAGCGGGAGGGATGACAAAGTCCGAAGGCACATCAGAAGTGACTATAATATATATATATATATATATATGATGCTTTAAAGAAGACTTGCGCCTTTGAGCTGTGAACCCTACCTTGCGTCTGTGGGTGGCATGTCGGCCGGTGTACAAGTTCAGTAGCCGAGCAGCACGTATCTTGGAAGAGGGATTACAACAGGGGGTACTACCATCCCGGTTCAGGACTGATAGTATAAGGGGGAACATCCCAATACCGTATCTGCCGTCCACCGACTGCCCGCTTCTGGAAACCTGCTCCAACAGAAGCACCCGCGCGAGCCGATGAGGGAAGGTCAGCGGACTCAGCGACAGATGCCTGCGAAGACTCGTCTCACACCCCAAAACTGTGGCCAATGCCCCCAAAAAGGTCCACATCCCTTCGAAGCCCACAATACTCGTAAAAAAAAAAAACGAATACTATCTAATACCAAAATGATAATGATAAAATCAGTTCTACGAATAAGCCCTGTGTGGGCGCCTTGCCGGCCTCCCAAGGGTGGGGCCCGGGCGCAGAGCCTCGGGAAGGCCGTCAGCGCCACCAATGGCGAAGGAGACCTCCAGGCTTTCAAAGGCAAAGATCTCAGATGCCTCACGGCTTTTGGCTCTTTGCTGTGTCCAGCCGTCTTGTGTGTGCTGTTTTTGGATGTGGTGGGGAAGGGGGGGCGGGGAAGGAGGGAGGGGGCTGAAGGGCGAGGGGAAGGGCCCGGGGGGGGAATCCACGGATTTATTGACAAAAACCTGCTGCAACCCCCCTCTGCGGCTTGTCCCCGACATGTTCGCATCACCGAATCACGCCGAAGGGGCTTTGCAGAGGGGCGTCAGAGGTTTTGCTTCAGACCTCTTATGTTCTGAAAAGAGTGCCTGGTAACCACCCGAGATATTCTGAAATAGCTTTTGATGGCTTCAGCTTCAGACTCAGAAAGGCGAGAAGCCCGCTCACAGGCTAGGGGGCCGTCGCAGAGTTATTGGGGAGAAGACTGTTGGGCTGGACAAGGACACTGCAGGAGATTCTACGTATGGGGGCTTCCGACATTAGGGGTACCTTATTGGGGTCCTTAGCATAAGGGAATCCTACTATTTGGGGGCCTTTTCTGGGGTCCCCCTATGATCGTAAACCCCCATATGCAGAAACATGTTTAGAATGTTTCTACTCAAAACTTGTTTACTTGCCTATACATTCTGTGCATCTCTTCCTCCCTCTGCCCCCACTTCCCGGCCCGCGCAGTCTCCTGAAGGGCCCCAAGAAGCAGCTCGGAAAAGGCGTCGCTGTTCAGGGCTTCGCCCAGAGGGTCCAACACCTCAGTTGCCGTGTCGCACACTCCAGGTGACTTCGCCACACCAAGTATTCACTTTCTCACCAGCCGGAATCCTGGACACACTTCTAGGCTTCTCGGCATCACACACATTTCCCAAAAATCAAAGCGCGAAACGAACCCACGGTTTCGTCCAGCAATTTGAGTTCACATAGGTGTGGCATCAAGAGCTGGAGATGGTGTGCCTCCGGAAGTGCAGCAAACCCGCTCACCACATTGGGCCTTGAAAATCCTCATCTTTCAGCCTTTCCTCTCTTGAAAAGCTCCCGGCATTCGACATCGCTTAGGTTGTGGGCTCAACCCTCAAAGCCGAGAGTTGAAGCCCTGCTGCCAGGACACCAGCAGTGAGCCCGTCAAATCCTGGACTCCTCGTACCAGCGCATCACCTGTGAGGATCTCTACACTGCCCACACTTTTAGCATGCCACCAGTAGCGGCATGCAAGACAGCCGTCACCGATCCCGACACCCCTTCTTCCTGACGTTTCATGGCACTGCTACACCCTGTGGCCTCAGAAGGGCGCTAAGCTGCGCGGTCGATCTCACGCCGGGGCGCTGCTGGAGTAGAAGGTCGTCCGTGCCAGGATCCGCGGGTGACCGCGCTCCAGCCGACGTGTGTACCTTTGCTTCACTGCACTGCCAGAATGCCTCCAAGGGTGACGACCCTCAAACGCAAAAAGATTTAAACAAAAAAAAAAAAATATATATATATATATATATATATATATATATATCTCTCTCTCTCTGCTCAAACAAAGAGAGAAGGCGCTCTGCGGCTGCAAGGCTCTCCCAGCCGGCTTCCCTGCGCGAAAACCGCGAAAACCCACACAAAATTACGACATTTTGTGTTTTCAACGGACAGGGAAGACAGACCGACCCCCAAAAAAAGGGATCAAGCAAGATGATCAAAGAGCCCAGAGCCTCGGGCGCCCCACGGTGTGCACCACAACTTGCCAGAGGCGCAGTGGGCGGCATGCGCCCATGAGTCCATGAGACCCACGCTGCCACGATGCGCAGGGCGTTTGCTACAGCAAAGGAATAACACAGCGGCTCTGTGAGCTCGAACATGATACGTGGCTGAGCACTCTATAGGCCCTTACAATCTCCTGCCCACGCATTCTGCTGGAAGTGAAAAGGGAAGGAGGTGTTCCACAACCCCGTTCAGTGCAAGCGAACCCGGTCAGAGGCTCATGGCCGCGTTGAGAAGCAAAGGGCACTTTGCTAGGTCAAGCGACGTGCCTATGCCCACTGCCGTGGCAATGCAACGCGCCCTAAAGACTCGAAGCCTGTACGGTTACAACCCACCCTAGTCGGTAACGGACATGCTTCGCTGATGCACGATAGCTTCGAAGCGCATCCTGTAGCACCCATACCCATGCTGAGCAAGTGTCCATGCTCCACTCTTCTTTTTCCAAGGCAAGGCAAATCCGACCTCGGCCGTCTTCTCGAGAGGTCACCAGCAGCTCTTCAGGTGGCCTTCTTGAAGCCTTCTCATGGAAAGGGCTTCTGCAGCGTAAGATTCACCGAGTGCACTGCTCGCAGCTGAAGATCCCACACCGAGGGGCTGAACACCCTAGCCCAAAAAAACATTGATTAACCTTTACACAATACATAGATATGTATATATGTATATATATATATATATATAGGTATGTATATATATACATATAGTAGGATTCTATATACCCACAAAGTTAAAGGTTACCCTACCCAGTCCCTAAGTATAAGTGTGTGGACTCCGCAGTGGTCGTCATGCTTTCCCCTAGGGTATAAGGTGCGCGCACCCGCCTGGCAGAGACGGTCTTGAAGATTGCCGGCAGGGTCCTACTTGCCGGTCAGCGCCCAAGTGGGTGCAAGCTTAGCCAGGAAGAACAAGCCAAGGAAGGCCGAGGGTACATGCTTCTCAAACAGAAGCATCCTACGATTTGACTTCTCCAGGCTCATGGGGAACAACCCCAGCGGCCACAAACTCCAACCTGCCTTGCCCGGGGTCCTGGGACCGCTGTAGAGACGCTGCGTCAAGCAGTTCCTGGGCTGGTGTCTGGAAGCGGGGGGAAGAGAGTGCTCTGTTTAAGAACGGCCTCAACGATAGAGCTGCCCGTGAATATCATTCTGTTATATACTCCGCTGCTGGGGCCTTGAGAGCCGGGGGGAGAGTTGGGGCCAAGTGGAAGCCTACCAGAAGCCTCCATCTAGCCGAATCCGAGCTTCTTCTTCCCGAAGCTGAGGGCGAAGATCAGGTGCTCCTATGAACGGCTTCCGGTCCGAGAGCGATGGGTGCTTGCACTTGGGTCTTCTCGGGTCCCTTGCTCTGCCAGCAGGGACTAGTGTGTTAGTAGGATGTCGAGGGGTCGCAGTGCGGCAGATTGCGCCTTCGCCTGCTCCCACTCTGCCTCCAGGCACCACTGCGGCTTCGCCAAAGCATCCTTGGGGCCGCGAAGCTCGGACGACAAGCCCCTCCCACGACGTGACGCGCGAAGCCCTCCTTTAGAAGCCCAGACCTCCAAAGCCCAGACAAGGGCTTCGATGCCACGATGCCACGACGCTACGACGGGCTACGTTTTTTGCACGCTTGTTCTATGTTCGAGCCTGGCCGACCATGCCTCGCGCGGCGGAATCCCTGCCAGCCCTGAGCGCTCAGGCCATTTCTGAGGGCCTGAGGCCCTGGCCCAGGAAAAGAGGCAGAAGCGGCAAGAGGAGGCTGGCCAGCCCAGGCACCGTGGCCTTAGCAGGCGTTCCGGGTTTGGCATCCCAGGTGACTCATCCGCGTGCCACCGCGCTTCAGGCTGCTGAGCTGAAGTGGGCTCGACATGCTGGAGCAAAGGAGCAACAAGCCAGCATTCAGGCTCTCGCAGCTTTTGCAAAGGTCGGACTGTGTGAGACCGGGCTTGGCTTCCAGAGTTCCACCAGGATTCCAGAGCATGGCAGGTCTTGTCTCCCAGCTCAAGAGCCAAACCACGACGTAGCCCCGCTACGACTTTCGGAAGCGCCGAAATTGCTTTCACATCGGCACCTCGGGAGGGCACGGAACTTCACAGAACATGACGGGCTTAATGGCAGCTTCTGGAGGTTGTTTCGCACCCCTTGCTTCACACCTTCTTCGCCTCGATGCATCCAAGCCCTGGGCTTGGGCCCCCCCCCAAGCCCTGGGGCCCTGGGCCCCCAGAAGAAGTGCAAAGGCTAGATCCACAGGCTTCCTGTCCTGAACCCTGCCCGTGGCGGGCACCCGCAGCAGGTCGCTGTCCTCCTCAGCCATCCTCTCTTCTCTCACGTCAGCTTCGTCGAGGCCTTGCAAACTCGCCTTTACTTAACGTGGGGGGTCGGGAGCTGATGGCCAAGCCCCCGATTGCCTACGTCGCCTAAGCGGCCTAAACGGTGCTCTCAAACCTGCGTCCTAGGCTGGGATCGGCTTAGGGCTGTCGCCGCGAAATGGTGTCTGGAAAGTCCAAAGCAGAAGCCTAAGTGGGCCTTGGCCTCTCTTCTGCACGCGGACAATCTCCTCGGATTCGCAGCCGTGACTCACCGCCCGTGGTCTCTTCGTCACAGCTTGGAAATGAGGCTAAGCTCTCATATGTTGGACCGTGAACTGTGGTGGCAATGGCAAACCGGGGGATGGGGAAACAATGTGTGGGTTGACGAAAACAGGAAACCCCCAATATAGATCCGCAAGTAGTAGGATCCCCCTTATAGTATAAGGACCCCAAGAAGGCACCCCCACCCCATGTATGTTCCTCGTGAACGTTAGAGGCTCGCCGTCATGGTGGGAACCCTGAAGAGACCGCGAAATCCGGGCCAAATAGAACCCCAGAGGAGAGAAAGAGGAGGCGGAGGAGGAGAGAGCGACAGAGAGTTGTGAGGAAGTAAGTGCCAGCCGTGGGCGTCCCCACGAAACAGGAACCAGAAGCCGAGGTAACAGAAACCGAGCTACAGAAACCACCCCAAACAAGCAACAGGAACTGCTGGGAGCTGTAACCGGAATTCCGTGCACGTGTAACAGAAGCCGGCCTAGGACGCAACAAGAACCGTGCGGCAAACTCATCTTTTGAGGGGCGTCTGCGCGCGTTGGCGTCTTCTTGCACGTTGGTATGACCATGAGGTAGCGCGACTCTGCTTTCTTGGCTTACGCTTGTGCCAAGGACCGTCATGTACAGGAACATGGAATAAGCGCTTTCATGGGAACTGGCGCGTTGTGGTCGGAAGCTTGTGTGAGGCACCTGAAACGGGAACCAGTAGTGTACTGAGCTGTACTGACCTGGAAAGCGTTTCGACACGCCGTGGGTTTTCGCGAAGTCTTTTGTGAGGTCAAGGTGACCATGCCCCAGAGGGGTGTTGCCATGCGTGTTTGCTGCCTGACCTCCCTAGCCCTGCTCTTAGCCAACATGCTGTGTTTCGCGCACTTGGCAGGACCCGGGAGAAAATATGTCATCCTAAACACCGCACTCACCACTGCCATCACCCCACTCAAAAATCACGCAAGTCCATCAAATCACGAAAGTCCATCATAAGTCCGACTCCGCCTGACCCTCTGAGCTCTTGAGGGCTTCAGGAAAGGCTGGGGGTTGCCGCCCCGTGGCTGGGAAGTGACCCGGATCCGTGGTCCAAGCGTAGAGCATCTGGAGCACCGCCGGGTCGTGCATCAGCCCTGAGTGGCCGGAAGTGGGTCATGGCAGGCTCTCCTCCTTGTGATTGTGGGGAGGACAAGCCAAGTAAACGCTCCCTCTCTCGTTTCCTCAAACGAAGCGCCCCAAGACAAAGGTCTGGGCTCCGACAAACTTCTATCACTGGCCCTACAAAGTTGTGAAACAGCCCGGGGCCGAGGACTTTCAGACACTGAGCCCCTCAAGTTTCAGGACATGGCAGACAACTCGAAGCTGATTCTTGGGCCCGAGGTCTGTTTCCCAGATTCCTCACGGTGTTTGCGTGCAGGGCCCCAGGTCTACTCCGAGAGACAAGAATCCGGGATTCGCTCGCGCAGAGTCGGGAGGCTCTGCAAAGGCATCCTTGTGGGCCGGCGACTTGGAATTGCGTTGCAGGCGATGGTCAACATTCATTAACAAAAAGTCAGGAGCCTTTTTGATGACCTTCACTGAAGAAAGAGGAAAGCGGATTGAGTCATTCAGAATTCAGGGCTTAGGGGCCTCAGAATAGAGAATCCCTGGTTTGGGGAGCTGGACAGGGCGGAGTCATGCTGGGCCTTTTGAGCGAACCCAGCCCGATTGGACAAATGGTTTCACCGTTCAGGGTTTAGGAAATGGATTAGGGGTAGTTGGGGCTCACCCTAAACCCTAACCCTAAACCCTAAACCCTAAGCCCTAAGCCCTAAGCCCTAAACATAGTTCGCGAGCTTGGGACTTCTTCAGGTGCTGGTCGCAGCTTGATCCACATCCGGGACAGATGCTCGATTGGCTTCCTTGTCGTAGTGTGTACTAGCAGTCCTGAATGGGGATTGTACTTGGGGGTACGAAAATTCCCTATTTAGGACTGTCAGCATAAGGGCGGACATCCACACCCAGGGCTCAGATCAAGCCCCACCACCGAGCTCAAGAATCCTGTGGTCGGTCAAGCTGGCTCATGTGGTGCAAAAAATGCCCAGCAAAGCAGGAGAACAGACATCCCCTGGGCGAAGAATGGTCAATATATCTCTATCTTTTTACACTTTCTAGAGTTCCACTCATAATCTTGCTTGCCGGCCCACGCCGTCAAAGCCCTGCTCGTCGGCCGGCCGGTGGGCCACGGTGGCAGGGGGCGGAAAGCGCCCTGGAACGCCTGGGTGAAGTTCGTCTTGACTCTAGGACTCGAGGAGCTGCTGTCGGGTTTTGCGCGGGGATCTGGGTTCCAAGGACTTTGTTGCCTCATGGCTTGACTATCCGAGGAAGAGATAGGCGATCATTTGTTTGCACAAGGCATCGTTCCTGGCGTTTCTGACCCCGCAACCATGCATGGAGCTAGCACAAGCCCCAAAGAGATCCCAAACCTAAGAAGGAAGAACCCCTTCCGCTTCAAAACCCCTGAGCGCCACGCCGATGGGCATAGGCGGCTTCTCCGCTTCGGGAACAGGGCCCTCAGGCAGAACTGAAGCTATGTATACCGGGGTTCGTAACAGATGCTTTTTTTGGGCAACACCCATCTTTGTGAGCCCATCAGAGGTGTTCACCGGGCGTTCTTGCCACGCGGGGGGGTTGAAGGTCGCTGTGAGCCTCCAGTGCTAGTCCAGATTCGCTAAACCCTTGAAACCCCTAAACCCTAAACCCTCAACCCTAAACGCTATCAACCATAAACTATCCTTAAACACCCGCATGGCCCAATCTCGAAGCTGCCGCGTGGCGATGCGGTGCTGGGCGGTCCGTACCATGGGCATGACCAGGGGCGGCTGGCCGCGTGGTGGCCCCGCATACCAACCTCAGTTGTGGGGGGGGTTAGGGTTTAGGGTTTAGGGTTTGGGGTTTAGGAGTGAAAAATAACCTGCCTGAGGCCACGGTCGATCTCCAAAGAGCAGGCTTCCGAAGGGCTTCCAAGCACAATGCCAGACTGCAATGGAATGCACGACTCGGCCGCGGCGGTAAAAGATGCATGGAGGTTCAGGGTACTTCTACCCCCTATTACAACTATACTTATAAGCCCCCTAAGTCCCCTAAGTAGGTTTTTAGTATAAGTATACTTGTGACGGGGTTAATAAGTACCCATGAACCTCCAAGTAGTTGCCGCAAGCCAAACAAGTTTTTTTCAGTGGAAACCAGACTGTTGTAGCGGACACCGTTTGAACTCAAATCTCCAATAACCATAGGGAAATAGATTAATCTGTCTTATTCCTACTAACTCAGGAAACCCAAAAAATGAGAGTTCTGCTGTTGGATATGCAAGTGAATGCACAGGCCAGCTGGTCAGCATGCAGTTGCATGAATAAGCCTAAGCATTGCATAGGGCTTTCATGACCCTGCTTGTGGCTAAGCCTGTCGACTCGTTCAACACCTTGAAGCCTGTGTCGGCCCTGACTGCAGGACCAAGGGGCCTCGGCCTGGCTGGCGTGTGATCCTGCCAAGACAAAGCCGACGCTCACTTGTTCTCGGAGGCGTGGCCAACAAGATTATGCGCAGATCTGGCAGAGCAAAGCCCATCTGCTTCGCGCACGCCTCTTTGCAACCTGTACAGCCTTAACGATCCTCAACTGTCGCCTTGAACTCAAGCCTCATGTTTGCCGTGCCCCGTACAGCATTCTCGCGATCCTCAACAGCCTCCCTAAACCCAAGCCTCATGTTTGCCACAAAAAGTTCAGTCACTAAATTAAATGCTCCTAGAGCCCTTGCAACTTAACACGCTGAAACAAGGCCTGATCTCGATGGGAGTTTCCCCCTCGAGGTGGCAACAGTCCTGATGAGCGGCGTTTCGTGTTGCGTCTTCGGGGCTTTGACACTGAAAAACCCTAAACCCTAGGCCCTTTTTAAGCACGGACTGAGGAAGCTGCCGGCGACACCTGAAAGCAGCAAGACTTGCAACCCTAGGCCCTAAACATCCCTAAACCCTAACCCCGGGCCAGGGCCTCTAAAGAAGCTGCCTGGAGCGGCCCTTCGCCATCGACGACGCGCTGCGCGCATTGCGAGCCCATGGCCCGCTCTGCTAGGCTGGATCGCGTGAGTTGGGCCTAGGGCCTCAGGGCTCAGGGCTTCGAGTGATGTGATTCAGCGGGGGGGGGGGGGATTTTCTTCGAGCTCTTGGGGTGAGATGATCGGGCTTTGCTCGTTGGGTGGGATTGGCTGCACATGCTGCGCGCGGTGCTTGGTCTGACTCGGCCGCGCACACAGAAAGAGAGAGGAGGAGCTCCAGGGGCTCCATCGACGCTGTGAAAACAGGGGGCCACTGCCACCCGTGGCACCCCTAAGACCTGTGGCACCTGTGGCACCTGGCAGCAGATGTGCGCTGGCCATCCCCAGGAGGTAGCCCACCACAATCCTCAGACTGTCCCGTCTCGTTCAGGTTCGTGCAGACTTCACTAAGGCCCGGCGACCATTCTGGGATGGCTTGGGGGGGGGAGTCTGCAGCAAGTTCGGCTCCCAGCTTTATTGAACCTGTACGCTCGTTGCGGGCTACGGGGCCCGCTTGGCGCAGCGTCGCTTGGCTTCGGGAGGGCTTGGTGGCTTGGAAAGTGCCATCCGGGCTGCTGCTGCGGAATCAAGATGATCCGACCTCGAGCAGCTGCCAAAACCACTCCTCGGCTCGCACAGTCTTTGTGTCTGATGGAACGTCTTCCCGGGCTCGCTCCCTCTCTCTCTCACAGATGCGCACCCCGTGCTCTTGCGGCAGTATCAGCCAGCAGGGGTTGCAACACAAAGGGATCATCACAGCCGTAGTCCTGGCCACCACAAGAAACTGCCAAGGCCCTGGCCTCGCAAGAAGAGCGTCGCCTCTTCTCAACAGCCGCACACACGCTTGGAACCAGCGTGTGCCAGCCCCCGACGCGCAGCTCGCCCCTTCCTCTGGGTGCCCGGCGAAGACGACGAGGCCCAGCAGGTGCAGAGCTTGCGTGGAGCGCTGGCTGACACTTTGGACCTCAAGATCACACTACCGGGCTGTCCCTGGGCGCTGTCCTCCACCGTAGTCATGCTGCAAGCACATGGTCACGCATGCCGACAGGTTGAGGAGGGCACAGGATGATGCTTGCAATACCTGCAGGGCGCTGCCAGGACTCAACAAACCGAACCGTGGCGACAAAGTTGTCACAACTCCTACACTCGCTGGCTGGAGCGCGGGTCCGCATGTCAAGCTTCTCAACTGTCCGCTTGCATAACACGGCAAGCACCATCTGGCCAAGGTGCTGCTGACACCATTCCTGAGTCGACAGCTTTGGCTCCCTCCCTCGTGGGAGTACTAACAAACTTCGCCTCGGCTTCCGGTCTCCTTAACTTCCCCCGTGCAGAATTGGTCCGGCGGCTCCTACAGAGGCCCCTCTCCCCCCTCCCCCTGCCCCCCCAGTTTTGGGGTCGCCCCCCTTAGACCCTTGCAACGCCCTGCAGTGGACCCTGTCCAACCCCTCAAAACCTTCATAAACCGTCTCCCCCTCTTTGTCAGCTTCCTGCCGATAAGCGTATTTTGTGCCTGCTCCTTCCCCCAACCAACCCTTCCCACTACGCCCCTGTGGGACGGGAGGGCGCCTCCAGGCGTCATCTCCACATGCTGCATGCTCCGGGCCGTCCCAGCTGCCGAGGCGGCGCGCGCAAGCGTTTACAATGACTATACATCTTACACAGACGTGGCGCTCGGCTGGAGCCCACTTTGGAACTGGCGAGGACAACCTGCGCAGGAAAGCTCTGCGCACCGGGACGGCTCGTGCCATTTGCTGGCACTCACCAAGGACACTGGAGGAAACTTCGGGTGCAGACATGTTAAAAGCAGCTAGGGTTCAACAGAGGGCACGAAAAAAGCATGTCTGACAGAAACAAGGAATTCGAGGGCAGCAGCAAAGCGAAAACGGATCGGGGAAGATGCATGGTTGTAAGAGCACGTCGTGTGGCATCAAGATTTGGTGACACGGTCTTCTGAAGCATATTCAGGTAAACTTAGACATTGCAGATGGCAGATTGTAGATTATAGGGTATAGGTTATATGCTATATAGATGATGGGGGACAAATTAGATGCTCTCATTTCCAAATAACAAACATTAATACATATTATATACCTTTTCTACATTAATCAATAAATCAAATCTATATATATATATATGTATATATATATATATAGATTCATACTCTCTATTATTTATCAGACATTGTACAATATTTGCTATATTTTATATGTTCTGCATAATGCTCATAATTATATACAAGATTACGCCTGGAACTTGGACCCCCGGAACCCAACCTAGCACCTAAAGCCTAACACCCCAAAATGTAAGCCTCTACGGATGCGGTGGGATTGGGGGTTGGGGTTGTTGGGGTCGGGGGGGTTGGGGGCCTTCAGTGGTAGCGGGGTGGGGTTGGGGGTTTGGAGTTGTGGGGTTTACCGGCTTGGCGGAGTGGCTCCGGAGGGGTCGTGGCGGAATTTGAACGAGAGAATGATTGCTCGTTTCTGCCAGTCACCCGCCCTCCCCGATCACCCTCCCAATCGCCCCCCATGTGCCAGGAGGACCTGGGCGATGTCCCCATGTATGGTTACGTAGACATGTCTGAAAGAATGCGCTGGCTCAGGAACAAATGTTGGTGTGGTGAGCTGCGGCTCATTGATCGAGCATACCTCATGCTCCAGCCTTTGGGTTCTCGCGGGCCACCTTGTCTCGCTGCATCTGCTGCCAGTCAAAAGTGCACCTCTCATGCAGTTTAGGGTTTAGGGTTTAGGGTTTAGGGTTTAGGGTTTAGGGTTTAGGGTTTAGGGTTGAAGGGCCCTTCTCAATATGAGTGCAAGCCCACATCAAGCCGTGCGCATCGAGGCGCGCGTGCAGCTCCGCAGGGCGGTGGCGCTCACAGAAAGCGAGGCCACAGCGACACCTGACACGAGGTCTCTCCAGTGGAGAACAAGCTTGGGGTACCGTGGTTTTGCTGCCGCTTGGTTCTGGCACAAAAGGGCATGACTGTCACATCAAAACACATGTTGGTCTTGTGGTGTTCGGACTTGGACTTCTGAGGCATTGCTGTTCTACAGCTCCTTTGAGGTTCCTTCGTCTATGATGCTTGAAACCTTTCCGAACAAGTTGAACTAGCATTTCGAATTTCGACGCACGCGGCTCTTGCGACAGTGCTCCGACCATCCAGACGCGCAAATGCCGCAAAACGCTTCCAACCACAAGCAAGGAGGGCACGGGGGGCCACCCACCCTTCACTCGCTTCCGACGCGATCGCTCGCCTCCCACCCGTATCTGCCCCAGCTCCGTCCTACTTCCACAGCAACTTGCAAGCAACGCAATGTTCATGCGAGTTGGGACAGGACATCGGAGCACTCACTATGACTTCAAGAGCCACCGCTACACAAGAGATGACTTTCCATCACAACCGGCAACGTCATCTGACGCACGGTCTTTTGACGCGCAACACAGGGGGGCCGATCCTCACTCCGTCCTCTGCAAGTGCTGGCGACTTTGCACCAAGGTGGCGACCAGTATCTCAGCTTTCGTGAACTCCAGCATCTCCTTTGCAAACTCTGCCGAAACTTCAACTCTGCCATTTCTTCACACAGGCATGACCTCTCAGCTGTCGCAGCTCCCCCCAAGAAAAAACGCAAGGCAAGGGCCTGGTCATCGAGCCGCTCTAAGTAGCGCTGTCGGCCGTCGTGTGGAAGCTTGTGGAAGACATTGACCTCAAGTGACGAAAGCCATGACAAGGCTACCCCGCAACGCCGCAACCCGCGTTTGTTTTTTTTGATGGGCACGAGATGGCGTCCGGGTCTACTTCGGGCCAAGAGAGCTCAGCAAGGAAACTTCATCAGCTAGCGGGAACATCCCGTTCTGGCACGCGTCCTTGTCGATGCTTGTCTCCAGCAGCTTCCGGCGCTCATCAGTGGACATGTGGTTCAACTGCACCTTCGCCCCGTGCTTCATCATCTGGTGCTTCCTTCAGCGGAATCGGACGGGATGCAAGCATCGCAAGCATCGCAAGCATCCCAAGCATGAGGAGTTTGAGAGTGGGGGCTCGAAAGTTGTTAGCCGTGCAGGAGCTTTAGGATCCTACAAACACCGCTTTTGGCATGTCAACTTAAGGATGCCGGGCCGCACGGTTGCGTCAACGTGAAGGACGCCACCAGCCTGCCAGTGATCGTAAAGCAGCCTGAACATGATCTCACCTCGGGGCTCATAGGGCTCCAGCACGCTGAAAGCGCAAGGGTTCAGCTGAGCTCGGCTCCCTATGCCGATAATCATCACACAAATCTGAAGCCTGGACTCTTGATGCCAGGGCCCCCCCCCCAAGCAAGCGGCTAGAATGACCACGCCATCTTGCATAGGCCGTGGCCACATCCTTGTCGTGGGCAAACTCCTTGGCTTGCTGCCCCCGGACATTGCAGAAACATCCACCCCTCCAAGCCTGAAAAAAGCATCCGAACACCCGAAGAACTAGTTCTGTCTTCGGTAAGGGGCCCGCCTGCGAAGTGCCAAACTCGGCAAAGCACGTGTGCCCGTACCTTTGTCCAGCCATGTGTGTATCCATGGCACATGAAGATAGAAGTGTAAGGTCTTGCCAATCTTGCTGCGACGCTTTTTGTTGCCTCTGTAGCGCAGAGAGAGAGAGAGAGAGGGAAGGAGGGAGGGAGGTTGAGAGAGAGAGAGAGTTCATCCTTCTTCTCTGCTGTCATGGCTTTCTACCAAGGTCTGTCCAAAAGCGCATACGGCGCGGAATTCAAAGGTGCCTGATGACGCGCGCAGGGCAAGTTCAAGTGTCGGCGACATGAATTCACATCGGGACACGCCCGCTCGAAGCCCAGAAGCTCCATGATCTCGTCATGAACCTCGTTCGCCACCTCAAGTGGTGAGCAAGGCCAACAAAGCGCGTGAACTTCGTGACGCATCATGACGCCAAGCTGCCGTTTCTGGTAGAGCCCCGGTTTCTTCGATCTTCTGTCGGAGCTTGCCTCGTACCTCGAACGGCCAGACATCTGCGCAAGAAAGTGGCCTGGCGAGAGTTTGGCCTCTGCAGTGTCCATCTTCACGTTGCAAGCCTCCAAGAACTCCAGCACGGTGTTCCTGGGAGACGGGAGCAGTGGCTAGCGGCGCCGGCGACTCGCGACATGGGGGCTTGCAACTGGGCACGGCTAACAGAGAAAGCCACAGATTCACAGATCCGAGAGTCCGTGACATTTTTCCTTCCTTCAGAAGGACATCTGGCCGCCTGTCTTCAAGACACTGCAGGTATGCAGCATCCATGGCGGTGGCGTAAGCCTGCGGGCTCTCCAAACGCGGCACACAGCCGAAACTGCGTTTAAGGCCAGGAGCCTCTCCGCTGTGTAACGAAACCACTTACCCTAAGCCTAAGCACGCTGAAGAATCATCCAACCCTGCCCTCAACTGCTCCAAGCCCTCGATGCTACCGATATCTACCCGATGCTTCCCGCAAGGCCTGCTTCAACTCCGGCAAAGATGCCGCCTCGGCACTGGCCGCCTCACGATGGGCAACATCTCTGCAACCCCAGTTGAGTTTACACAAGTACTGGAAGAGACTCCTCGCGTTTCATGTGCCACACATTCACCCATCACCAATTGAAATGCTCGAACCCCTGGAGCCCTCAATCCTACCGGGGGCCTGCCCAGGGGCCGGGATCCGCGCCACTGCAGCACGGCCATCCGCCAGCGGGACCCCGAGCTCCTCCCAAATCTTCGCCTGCTCCGGGAAGGCACGGTCATCTCTCCCTCACGTGCCGAACGTGTGCTGCGCCGCGAGGCGCAGCTGAGTGATTTTTGTGTGCTTCTGCTCGGCAAGCACGTCTTTTTTGGGCATTGCGCAACAATGCCCCAATAGCTGAACACTCGCATTGCACAACCATTCGTTTCACCTAACGCACATCCCTTCGCGTCGAAAAGCGAGCTCTCTTGGGATCTGCCTATCCGACCGTCTGGCACTTCACATCTCCGAGCCTGGAGCTCTGCCAGATGCTTGCCAGGCCTGCGGCACGATCCCCATTTCCATCATCGTCCCCCCCTTTTTTGAGCAGGGGCTGAGGGGCATGCCGGAACCCCCAAGTGCCCCCCTCTGAACCTTTTCAGGTGAAGGTTCATGGCACTTATGAACGATAATTGGCTTATAAGTGCACTTATAAGGCGCTTATTGACTATAATTTGGGCTATCAGTACACTCATAAGTACCCTGAACCTCCAGGTATGGGCTCTCCTCCCCGAGTCGGCGTTTGCCAGCTCTCTCCGCGTCGGCTCGGAGGACATGGTCTCGATGCATCGCTGAAAAAACCTGGGGGGGGGGGGATCTCTTGGCGCTTAGGGTTGAGGATTTAGGGTTTAGGGTTTAGGGTTTAGGGTTTCGGGTTCAGGGGGACTCAGGGCTCCAAGATTTCGAGAGAGGAACCTATGTGCCACTGGGTGTTGGGGTGGCCTCTCTCTCAGTCTCAACAACTGACACCGTCGCTGCCAGGGAGCGACTCGAGCTGCGCGTCCTCCACGACCCGCGACATGAAAGCACGAGGAGGGCCGCTTGGTGTCTGCGAAGACTTCTTCGGGCTGAGGACTTGGGATGTCCCCCCTTATACGAAGAGTCCTGAACATAGGGATTTTTGAGTACCCCCCCTACTACAATACCCCTTGAAGGACTGTGAGTAAAAAGGTGGAACACCTCCCAGTTTAGGACCCTGAGCCGATCTGGGGGTTGGCTGGGAGACTCTTGCTGGGGCTTATGAGCCAGAATTGTGGGTCGTACGGCAAGTGTGCCGGGGCCCATGCCATGATTCGAGCCTAAAACGGCCACAGGGCTTGTGGGCTAGCAGGGCAGGAAAGGAAGCCAAAGATGCCCAGCAACCCTAAACCCTAAACCCTAAACCCCAAAGCTCGGGAGCAAGGGCTCCAGTTTCCGGCTTGGGGATGGCCCTCAGGAAGATCCTCAGGCCCCCCAGCAGAGCAACAGCTGCCTGATGGTCGACTCCACCAGTGAGATTCGGCGCTGGCATTTGCCACACCTCGTGCCAGCGGCCGACAAGCACGCTACTGCTGGTGCCTCTTGGCAAGCTCTCTGAAACAAGGCTCCCTTGTTCGCCATGCGGAGCCTCTAGGACTCTAGACCGGGTAATCCAGAAAACGCACGTCGCAAAAGCGCGGCTGAGTCCGGTGCTGCCTGTCTTCCGGCACCTTCTCCTTGCCAGCTTGGGTCGGCTTCCAGGTTGAATTGTGGGTTTAGGGCTTCCAGGATGGTCAGCAAACTGGACTCCGAGCCAACTCCGGGGGGAGTTGCTCTGTGTCCCTTTTGAACTGAACCCTGCAAGCTCTTCAGCGAAGCAACCCTCCACTGACCTGGCGCACACAAGGGCGGGCATGTATGAGCCTGGTGCCGACGACCGATCTTGTGAACCGAAACGTCAAGCTCGCAACAGGGAATGTGGGCGAACGCCGCGCTGGACAATCTATGACAAGATGCCAAACATAATAATAACAAGAAGAAGAAGAAGATGCCACAAAAGGTGTCAGATGCAGCTGTGATCAGCTGATCGAAGTTGGCCAAAGGTGTGAGAACAAAGTATCCCAAAACTCGATGCGAACTCTGAGCAGGCAGACCTCCGCCAAGAACAGGATTGTGTGCACAAGCTCTTGAATAGACTTTGGAAGGGGTTACTGTCGAAGTTTATTCCCGTCTTCGGTGTGGGATTGTTAGATTTCGATTCAACATCCTTGAGTGCGCACCGCTCCCCCAGTAAATTGCGCAGAGAGTGCCGCGATAGAAGCCTGCAGCGAAGCATCCGTAATTCACACGGCAGGATGGCTCCGGCATTGGGTAGTTGTAGAGTCGGGATGATCGCAGCAAAATATATTTTATGAGATAGCTCACACTCGCATCGCATTAGCAAGCGCGGGCCTTCAACAAACGCATCAAGTCGACCAAAAGAACTCCACGACTCCACCCCACGTCATGGGCGAAGCCATAGCAACGCATCTTCGACCAACTCGTAATCGCACAAAAGCATCGCTGTCCGCCTTTGGAGGAGCCCCATCTGGAGCCGAAGCCATTGCGCTGAAGGTCTGAGGCCGACAAGGTATATCGGACCTACCAGGGCCTTCCGTAGGGTCCAGGCATCGTGCTCTCTACGACGTTGGAAGCCGCGTGGTTCAGATGCAACAGTCAGTGTGATGGTGATGTTGCCGACACAAGCTTAGGGTCTGAGGGCACCAAAGCAGTACTTGTAAGAGTGTACGACATAGTCTCCAGGGATCTGAATGTGCGTGCTTCGGACCGATGTATCTGCGAAAAACCTGTGCATACCTCTGCAATGTCCGGGTTGACTCTACCCAGGTGGTACAGTAAACTCAGGAAGGCCTCGCCTACCTCGCCTATATGGCCTGCATTATGGAATTATGGCAAAGCTGCAGATTAAGGGGGCTCGACGGTACCCTGGCGATCAAAACTCGTGCGGAACACCCGACATCCATCAAGCACGTGGTTGCGGTATGCCGCGTCGGTCCCTGTGTATCCGTCCCCCCAGACCGTGGCATGCAAAGCGACCTGAACGCTGGCATCGACAGCCACATGCTTGGCGCCAGCTTAGTTGAAACTCATGTGCAGAAGGATTGCGTATGATTGCGTGGAAGTTGCAACTATATCGATTGGCACGCCTCATGCTTCGCTTTGTGGTCATGCTGCCAGGTCTATGGCCCTTTGCGACGCACACTGCCGATCCGTCGGGCAAGGCGAGCGACAGCGCTCGAAAATGCGGCGCTACCGAACATCTTCGGAAGCGGTTCTAGTTTCTAACAGTTTCTCACCAAGTCAGGGCCATCTCTTTTTTGCCTGGAGAAATGGCCACAACACAAGGCTCTTGGGGCCACTAGTCATAGGAAACCCCGCACTGTGGGACAATGTACATCCAGCTATGCACAGACGCAGCCCAGGTGTTCAGGGCATCGGCAAAGCACGGCGAACTTATCCCTGGTCTACTCTCTGCCGTCATCAATGCACCCGTTCGGGCGTATGCTGGACCAACAGCTGCCTTTTTTGGCTGGAGGCCCTTCAAAGTCTCCAAACCTCCACTCCGGGCCCCCCCTTCGCTCCCCCCGAGCTCATTTGTCGCATTTGCGCAGCTGCTCCGAAACCTCCTCAGAGCTTGGGGGGGGGGGGGGGCTGCTTTGACTCGGGTGTGTTCAGGAAAAAATTCAGAGGGCTGTGTACGCGTGCTGGGACCTCCCAGCAAGGTTGAAACCTCCCCCCGTATTTAGGCCCTAGACTTTGAGGCTCTTGAGGAAGTATGCCAAATTCGAGGCGGTCCTGCACAGCCTGCTCCAGCGAACTCAGCTGCTGCGATGAGTTCGGGTTGAACTTGAAGAGCCTCGGGGTCGTGCCCCCCCGGAAGTTCTTGGGGCGATGAACCGGGGCCTCGAGTGTGCTGAGCCCAAAGTCCGAAAGTCCGAGTGCGGCCCAGGCGGCGCGTAGAACAGGTCAAAACTGTCCCTGGTGGTGTTCTCCACCAGCTGGAGCAGCGACTCGAAGCCCTTGAAGGATGAGGCTCTTGGGATCTTGGGGGGCGTTTAGGGGTTTAGGGTTTAGGGTTTAGGGTTTAGGGTTTAGGGTTTAGGGTTTAGGGTTTAGGGTTTAGGGTTTAGGGTTTAGGGTTTAGGGTTTAGGGTTTAGGGCGCTACCAATCATGGATTCAAGGCCCTGTGGCATGCCCGGAGATGGCGGACATTCCCATGGGCAGGGCTAGTCAGGGGCAGCTTTTTGGTTCTCCTCTCACCCTTTTGCAAAACCCTAAACCCTTTTGCAGCGAGCACCCTAAATAAACCCTAAACCCTGCGCCTTCGTGTTGATGGGCGTGTTGGTCAAAGCCAGCCGCTCCAGCACCCGGCCCGTGAAATGCGTGACGAACTGGCTCCCTGCTGCCACCTCGTCATGCAGCTCGCAGGTCATGTCCTTGGCTCCAGGGTGTAGGGTTTAGGGTTAGGGGTTTAGGGTTTAGGGTTTAGGGTTTAGGGTTTAGGGTTGGGGTTTAGGGTTTAGGGTCTAGGGTTTAGGGTTCCAGCTGCTCGCGCCAAGCTGAGCAGACATGACGAAGGCTCCAATGCCCTGTAGAAAGGCAGAGACCAACCCTTGTGTGCCGCTATTCCGTGGGCCAGTGCACATCCTAGCGGCCACCATTCGGCATCCTTGGTTTGACCACCACTTTAGGAACTCCTCGCATCTCCTGCGAAGAAGGGTGGCTCTTGCCCTGTCTCACTCTCCCGGTCTCTATTGGTTGTTAAAGCAAACGAATGCAAATGAAAGTGAATCCATGCATGCGTTTCTGCACTGCCTTACGTTCATCTCAACCCCTTGCCAGGCACCTCGCGTTGTTGAGTCTCACCCGCTCAAAGACGAAGGGCAGTCCGGTCCAGCCATGCTTGCCACTCTGTGGGCCGAACATGGGATGCGTGCACAATACATCCTGAGAAACACGGGCCGCCCAGTATGCGTAAGAAACTTCATGCGCAGACAACACTCGCACCACCGGCACAATCTTGCACATTTGCGAGAGCGCTGGCCAGGCTTCGCAGGTCTCTGGAAGGAGGGCAGTCAGGGTTGTCTTTGCATGCACCTTCGCAGAACGAGACGCCAGATGGTAAGGCGCAGAACAAGGGGCACTTTGCCAGACAGGACAACTCAACTGCCTTCACAGAGAGCACGTCCACCACCAGCATCCGGCGAGACCTCAAAAAATCTCAGGTGCCGACTAAACCTGGTTCCAACCTCTGGTTCCCATATCGAGCCGGCTTGGCTTCTCGCATGCTCTGAATCTCTCTAAAATCTGAAACTCCCCCCTGAACCCCAAATACCCCAAACCCTGAACCCTTTTTGTGCAACTGGGGCTCCTAAACCCTGCACCCTACACCCTACACCCTACACCCTAAACCCCAAACCCTAAACCTTGCAAATCCTCCGCCAGGGGACGGGTGAGTCGCATCTTTGGAGGCGAGGCAGCTGCAAATCCGCCGCACCATGCCCTCGAAGCTGAGGATGCTGACCTTTGCTGCCGCAGGACTTGTAGGCTTTTGGGGTTTAGGGTTTAGGGTTTAGGGTTTAGGGTTTAGGGTTTAGGGTTGAGGGTTGACTGTTCATGTCACAGAATCAGCCCAACATTCGGGTAAGCCGGGCTGCGGAAATGATCAGCACGTCGAGCTGCTGCTCCAGGAGGACATCGATAGAATCACACCAAGTCCTTTTGAAAAGCTCAAGCCGGCGCTTGACTCGCCGCAACCACTTGCGTGGGTCAGGGGTTGCATAGAGTGGTTGCAGGGTGCTGCATGCTCTTCAGGCTTTCAAAATGGACCATGAATTCGAGAAGCCTCGCCGATGTCTATGGATTGCAGGCGAGGGTCACACCGCAGTTCGCAGCAACTTCGGAGTAGTTGTCCCGACTGGTCGCAAAGACAAAGTGGTCCAGCGCTAGCTTCTTTCCCTGAGGGTGGGGCAGAGCACGGTTGGGCATGACATGAAAGAAGAGAGTCTCCATCATCACAGCCACAGGCGATTTCGCCGTGCTCGGGCCGTGGCCACACCCCGAACTCCCTGCGCACCCAAGCCGATATTGCACCAGGTGGCTATGAATTGGCCGAAGGTGCCGAAGCCCAAGACACCGATGCGTTTCTTTGGCTCGGAGGCTGGGCGGAAAATCGGCACCTGCCAGAATCCCTGCCCGCTCTGGGCTGTCTGTGAAGACTTACTTCTTTCTCAATGGCAGGAAGGGGGTGAAGTTAGCTTGAAAGGGCCGCTTCTCGTTTTTGCAAGCTGCTCGCCCTCCTGGGTGTGTGACGTTGGGGCTCTTCAGGGACTTGTTCGGGGAAACCAACCTCAAACCTTAAGCCCTGAACCCTCAACCCTGAACCCTCAACCCTGAACCCTCAACCCCTGGGCACCATGCGGTCTTCCAAATGCTTCAGGCCCACCAAGGCTCCTCCTTGTGGGAAGGAGCCGAGCCTGGGCATAGGAGGCCAACACCCAACTGTCCCAGCACCTCCCCTAGAAAAGGCTGCCCCGGAAGGCCTTCATGGTGGCCCCCCTTCCCGGGTATGCAACCCCCTCTCAGTTTTGCATCCCCACAAGACTCGGAGGGAGACACTGTCGCAGTTATGAGAGGAACGTCAAGAAAATCTCGCTGGGAGTCCAAAAACGATGTTAGAAAGCACGGGGGGGGGCTGTATGAGACTGTCGTCAGAAGTGGACGGGCATTGGCGCGTTTGGTCCACTACATGAAGCCAACGATTCAGACTTCGAGGCGCTTGCCTTTGCTTATTTTTTCAAGTATGTTGCATCTGCCGATACTCTGGGCTACGGAGGCCCCATGCCCTACCGTGAAACCTTTGAGATTTTTGGAGATGTGGTGCGAGATGTACGAACACCGCACAGGGCAACCTCCAGGACAGAAGCTTATGCAGCCGCAAGCAGAGTATGGGCCACTACAGACCATGAGAACTCAGTGACAAAACACGTATGGCATGGTGCTTAGGGTTTAATTTGGCTGGCCGATACCTGCTAAAAAACGGCCATGATTATGCAACCGGAGCATCACTCTGAAGTACACGGTCATCTCTTGTAAATGCCGCAGCGCGTTGGTGACATTGTGCTCATCCACCTCGACTAAGCAAAGGCGGCACGCTGCAAACTTTGGGGGTCTCAGTGTGCCAGATGGTCAAACGGATCTACGAGTAGTGCGCAGCATCAGGCACAGGTAAGCACAACTCTGCCCAATGAGGCTGAGGATTCGGACCTTGGACTTCTTACAGAGCCTTTTTAGGGCCAGGGGGCAGATGCAAGGAAGTCCACGTAGAAGAGATAGCGGAAGCGGGCCTCGGATGCCTCCAGGGAGGATTTGTTGAGGAGGCCCGAACCCCTACACAGAGAGCGAGAACCTCTCTCAAGCTCTTGAAACTGCTCTGCTCTCTCTCCTTTTTGAAACGGCGATAATGCAGGTCTTTTTTTTTTTGGGGGGGGGGGGGGCTTTGGGGTTTCTAAAGGGCAGCTAGGGACATAGAATGGACATATCTCTGGGGGGGTGGGGCTAAGCATCTGCAAAGATGCCGAGGTCTCCGTCTTTGCCCGCTTCGCGGCGGGGGCCGCGCGCATGCTCAGGTACATGCGCTCGAGGTTAGACATGATGTCCTGTCGGGAATGAGGAGGGCATCTGTGGGGTTTCCGAAAAAAGGGTTGCACCCTTTTTGGGGTTCCAAGAATACGGAGTATGGTCATGTGGTCAAAGTACCCCTCCTGTGGGAATGCCCACGATGTCTCGCAGGCAGCCTGTCCCCACCACTTCGGTGACCAGCGCTTCGCGTTTCGGGCTGCTTGGGGGGCATCCATCAGCTGCAAGAAGCCCGGTAAAGCCTAAACCCTATAAGCATCCCTGCAGCACACCCAAAGCCCTAGTCCCTTTTCCGTAGTCCCTAAACCCTAAACCCTACACCCTCAACCCCTAAACCCTAAAACCCTAAACCCTAAGCCCCTAAGCCCTAAACCCTAAGCCCCTAAGCCCCTAAGCCCCTAAGCCCCTAAGCCCCTAAGCCCCTAAGCCCCTAAGCCCTAAACTCAACATCCCGTAGCCGGTCCGGCTTGCAGGGCCGGCTCTCGATCTTCGTAAGGTCGATGTCTCGCAAGGCGAACACCGATAAGGCCTTGAACAAGGCGCCTCCGGGCGCGCGGTTAGGGTTTAGGGTTCAGAGTTTGGGGTTTAGGGTTTAGGGCGCAGAGTTTTTTGGGGTTTAGGTTTAGGGCTTAGGGTTAGGGAGCCGAACCAAACGGGTTTGGGAAGAAAACCCTCGAATCTTCACTTCAGTCCTGATAGGAATCCTAGGGCGACTACTTACTGTAGAGGGGCTTCAGGGCTTTGGGTGTCAGGGTGATGTTTGGGAACATGTTTGGGAACCCGAAGGGTCGGGGGAACCCGTGGCGGGGCGGTTTTTTATGCACTTTGCCTGCCATGTTGTCCAAGGAGAAGACGACGGAGGTCTTGCACTTTATGCCCGGAGGCACAGTCACAGGATCTGATCTCAGCAGTAGAAATCGAGTGAAGTTGTTGTCATCGTCCTCAATTCCTCAGCGTCAATGAAGCAAAATTGTTGACGGTCCATGGTGGCAGATGTTGGGACCATCCGTGCCGCGCGGTGTCTACGTATTAAGTTTCCTGGTGAAGCTCAGCCCTCCGTTACCCCTACACGTCTCAGACATTGCAAGGGCCATGAAAGCGAAGCAGATGATGAACCGTTCCAAACACGTGCCGAGGCTCCCTTTTCCAGGATCTCAAGCCCGTAGTGCTCTGCTGCTAATTCGCTGCAGATTGACGCCACGCCCTTCATTTTGCCTCCACGTCAAGCGAATGGACCCCCATGTCAACATATCAAGTTTGTGCAGCGGGAGAAGAAGGTACCAACAGAGGTGCTACTGAGATTCAGTTGCTGCTCTGGCTGCCTGCTGACAAGTCTTCTCACTTCTAGCGAGAGCAATACCCTGGGAACGATCGCGCACCTTGACGGGCACACGTTTGTCGGTTCTGAAGCGCAGCTATGAGTGCGCCTTTTGCGCATTACGTCGGCATACGCCTACGAAGCGCGCATACGTACGGTGCAACAACAAATCTGTGCTCACCTCCAAACATTGTCACGATTGCCAGTCATACTTCCTTTCGCAAATATGTGTTTTTGCTGGAAACTTGGGCTCTACCTTCTCCCCTTGTGGCCGCAGGCCTTCAGCGATAAGCTTTGCGCTGCCAGCTGTGTCATACGCCGCTTCCGCGGGGATACCTGCAAAAGATTCCACCAGTGCAATCTACAAGTATCTTCCTGTTCCCCGGGCTGCCCCGGGCATCCCCAGCGAAGTTCCCCAACAAAGCAGAAAACTTCGCCCATTGGCCTTGCTTCTTCAAGTAGGAACTGCACTGCGCCAGGGCTTGCGGATGGCTTATCGCCTTTGTCAAGCTCTCCTGGAGGCTGGGCCATGCAGGCAAAGCATGCGAAAACTTTAGGGGCCTTAATAGGTAGAATAGGGTTCAATTGTTTTTTGGGGGGTGGGGTGGAGGGGGGTTATTATAGTAAAAAACATTATAAAGGAACCATAAGGGAATACTACTGGGAACTTTTCCGACCCCTGCATGACAGTTGCGGTGCCCCTCCTTCTTTGTGCCGGGCAGGGCCATCAGTGTGTGCCGGACACGCAAACTGTGCTCGGCCTTGGCCACACGGCGCAACCCCACAGGTGTGGTAGCTCAAGTTCATGTCGCTTCCAACTTCCAGGTAAAGACAAGCAATGCGAGTTGAAAAACAGCTCGGGCGCGTGCGATAATGAATAAGTTGTGTTGAAGCTGCAGGTCGCAATTAGCATGGATGGTGCCCCCGAGTGTGTTCTCAATGGGTACCATGAGGAGGTTCGTGCTTCCAGAGCTGACAGCCTCTGGCTGAACGTTTCCGCACATGTCGAGAGCAGAACAACCATGACACCATTTATGTCGACTTACCCGCAAGCACCACAGGAGCATGCATAACATGTTTCGCCGACGAGCATTGCCTGCGCGATGCTCCCAAATTATCTCTGCAGGCAAGGCTCGGCAAACGCGTCATCGAAGGATTGATAACCAACGCATTGCACTCCTAGTTGTCATTGAGATGCAAGCTCGATTTCACAAAAACGCTGTGTCAGGCAACATCAGTTTTGTGGCATCACGCATCCGGAAATGTCCCACGCCAATGGGCACAAGCCATTGCATCCAAGCAGCCCGTTCTCCCCAGGAGCTCGTAAACAGCTTGCTCGCCTCAGTGCAGCTCCCAAACTCAAGCGCTTGGGCACGGGAGGGGGTCAACAGGGAAATGCCACACCTGCGCCAATGCTGAAAGGACAAACAACAACGCGCGAGCGGCTGTATGCGCCCCTCTCGCCCTGGAAGGCCACTGTGTAGTGCGCCATGGCACTTCTACGACCCCCTCCTCAACATAGCCTTCGTATTGGGCCAAAAAGCCATATATGTGAAGACAAAGGGCTTAGGGTCTAGGGTTTAGGGTTTAGGGTTTGGAGTTTAAGCAAACTGCGCAGGCCACATCGACTCTGGGGTGGGTGGGCGGGTGGGTCGTGCGTAGAAGTCCCGAGCTTCGACAGTCGGAAGGCTTGTTCAAGACCAACGTCCATGGCATGTCCAGCGCTTCTTTTTCGGTAGCATGTGGACTGCTATCCAGAGATTCTGTGCCACTCCCGCCGCTGTGAATCTTGCAATGCCGTCGCTGCATAAATGACCTTGCCAAAGGGCGTCATTTCAGGCGTTTTGTCAGGTGGGTGAATGGTCGCTTTTTTCGTGCGCTGCTTGCTGAGAAATTCTCTGAGCTGGCCACCGCTGCCACAAACGGGGCAAGCACAGCTGCCACAATCGCCAGCTCCCCACGCAAGAGTCTTTGCCTCTCACTTCCGCTCAGACTCTTTTCGACTTGTGCTGCATAAACTGATATAATTTGGCTTAAGGACCCGGCACAGCTGCCGAAATATCTGCCCGCAGCTTCTGTCCATCAAAGCCAGGCGTTCTCGCCGCACGCCAAGGCAACCCAGCCTGACGCAAAGCTGCAGAAAGCATGGCTCGTCAGTGTCTGCACGAAGCCTCGTGGAACATGCGAGAGCGGAAGCAGAAACAGCTTAACGAAAACAAGAACTGCTCGTGGTTTGTATTCGCCGTGATGACAAAACCAAACCCGTCGCTACATGACTATATGAGTTTGGCATGCAAAGTTTAAGCTTGGTCATTGGCACTGTTCAGCCCTGGTTTGCCTCTGTACATATTCCTGGCGATTTCTCTGTATAGCTTCCAGGAATGGACGCGCAGTTGGCTTGGAAGGCCATGATGTCCTTCTTACAGGATCTGCTGGCAACGGTTTGCACATGCAGCGATGGGCAGTCAGCATGCAGGGGCTGCAGTCCTCATTGTACTTGCAATCAACACCCTCTGCCCATGTTTGGCCAGGCACAAACCTCCCAAGAACCACAATCTTAGCATGCCGCTATCAGAACAAATGCACTTTTGTTCTTGCAGCTTGTGCCTCCCATTGAATTGTCCCCCGACAAGGCAACCGGTGTGGTCAGTGAGATATGTCTCTTCACAGCAATCCTTGTCTTCATACGGCAACAAAGTGAACGAATTCCGGCTGACATCGCATCCAGGTGCGATATCCAAACCAGAAAAGCTCAAAACGATGTAGACCTAGGCATCCCATGTCCCAGCCTCTCCCCGCACACCCGAAACTCCAACACGATTCAGCTGCAGAGCACATGCCTGAGGACAAGGCCAAGACGGCTGGCAATGCTTCCCGAACAATTTCAGCTTGTGCGAGTCGGCGTGTCACCCAGCAAAACAAGCCCCATCCACCGCGACATTGAACTCCTGTCCACTAATTTGGGGAGTTTGGGATGACATGAATGACACCCAAAAACTGATAACTGCGAAACTTCACAACATGCACGTCATGAAACGTCCCGTTGTCCTGACGTGCGAGTCTGCTGCTCGACTGCAAAGGAGGCAGCCGTCAATGGTTTGCTGGTCTGCGCGCCATCCCCGAAGCCATCAAGAGTGAAGATGCCTGGCACAAAGTTTGAGCTCTCACTGGCTAGCAGGTCCTGGACATCAGCCTTGCGGGCAGGCAATTTCCACCCGCATGTTCTTGATGGTCACCAGCCTTAGTCACAGACGTCACGCGAAGCGGGAAACGCCTGCTTTTGTTTCTGGCACAGCAGCCCAATGTAAGATGCCAGGCTGCACATTTGCAAGGTCGACCTGCGGCTCCCGCCCCACTCCCTACTCCCTGCGATGGGAAACCAGGACGTTTCTTGCTGTCATCCTCGTTACGGGACAAACATCAACAGTCTGGGGGGCTATCGCGTTGCTTGCACACATCACTTAGCGAAAGCCAGAAAGCTCCACAGCTCGCACAACCCCAGAGGGGGAGCACCAAGTTGGAAGTAGCTCAAAAAGAAACCCATCGGCGGCTCCAGACGGAGGATCGTGGCAGAATCAGCAAAACAACTCGGGAACCAGCGAAATCGGGCTCTTAAGTTCAGAAGTTCAACCACTGTTGAAGTTCGTAAGCCTCATACTAATTTGAGATCGGGGGCACGAAAGCTAAACGCTTTTTTCGTCGTGTGCAACCATGAACATAAACAGACTCGTATTTCGTGTTCTCAATCTCATACGTAACCTGAAAACGGACTAACGTGGGGCCCAGTGAGAGCCATACGAAGGGAGAGGGGGAGGGGGGAGGGAAGGGGCCGGGGCGCACAGGGGGAGGGGGGGTCTCAAGGTGGTAACCGCATATCTTCTTGGAACCGTGGGTGAACTGATCTCGCGTAACAAAATCCCGGGTGATGATAATGCCCCATTAATATTATTGTACGGGCTAATAATAGAATTGCAACATGAGCGGGGAGGGGGAAGGGGATAGGGGATGAGTGTGATTGAGCGAGGGTCAAGCAAAAGACTCTTCAATTAAAGGACCGGATAACCCCACATGTCTATCTTTTTGCGAGGTTCGGAGGCTTTGGGGGTGACTTTGCGCGGGCCAACAACATCCGGGTCTTATAGAGTACTACGTTTGTACTACGGGAACACGATGTTTGCGAGGTTTCGGAGGTTTTGGGGCGGCTTTGCGCGCGCCGACAACACCCAGGTCCTATACAGTACTACGTGTGTACTACAGGAAGACGATATTTGCGTGATATTTGCGAGGTTTCGCAGCGCGCGGAATTTGTTTCGCAGGTTTTGGGGCGACTTTGCGCGCGCCGACAACACCGGGGTCCTAAGAGTACTATGTTTTTTCTTTGTTGTCAGGATCTATATCTCTAGGGGCGTCCATCAATCTCATGACACCTTAACTCCTTGTAAGCCTCATTCACCCTGTCACCCGTGAACCAGACCTTGGAACCGCCCCTAGAAACCGTACCATCATGAGTCTTTCTACGTGACAGGCCCCCATCATCGGTCAGTCCACCAATCACCCGGGATATATTAATAATACGAAGTGAACATGTGAACACGCGAACTAAATATTATTACAAGTACACGCGTGAAAAACAGTATAATGCGTGCACGAAATGAGAGAACGAGTGCACGAACTACAGCCCTTATCATGAGACTGTGGATTAACCGTGTAAACGAGAACTCCTATTAAAATATAAGGAAACAAGGGAGTGAAACGAGTGCGTGACGCATGATTTGTACTACAGGAAGACGATGCTTGCGATCATTTTTAGGAACCCTTAACGGGTTGTAGGGCTTAAGGAGCTCCCTGGGCATAAGGACCTATACCTGAACCTATACATACCGCAGGGTTACAATGGTTACGGTATAGGAGTGGTATAGGGCAGGTTTGTCTTTGAGTTGTGCGTGTGTGGTTTCAGGGCAGGGTTGTCTTTGAGGACGTCCTCAAAAAAAAGCCTGGCGATTGTGCAATCGAGCCCGGCCTGTAAAACTTGGTTTGGCTTGGGCTTGGTTTGGGTTTTTGCGTTGTCAGATGGTGGGGGGTTTGGGCGGGCACATCCCCGCCCAAACTCCTTTGCACCTCAGCACGTGCGGCTGGGTTCAAGTGACACACGATCGTTCAAGGACCCGTCTCTCTCTCTCTCTCTCTCTCTCTCTCTCTCTTGCATGGTGGGTGGATCGTAGGATGGCGAGCAGTGGCGGGTAAGTGGTATTGGTGGGACTGTTGGATAAGAATGGGAATGGCGGTGGTACAAAGTACTACGCTTGTACTACAGCAACTTTGCGCGCAAGAACACGATATTTGCGAAGTTTCGGAGGCTGTGGGGCGACTTTGCGCAAGCCGACAACACCGGCGTCCTCTACAGTACTACGTTTGTACTACCAGAAAACGATATTTGCGGTTTCGGAACTTTTGGGGCGATATGCGCGCACCAACAACACCCCCTGTTGAGCAGTATGTCTGTATTGCAGGAAAACGACTTCAGAACAAGGCGAACGAAAGCTAGCAATGGCTCGGTTCCTTGAAATGTTGGAGATCCCACAAGGCCAGCTCCGACAGGATACTCTTCACTTGCTGCGTGTAACGCAAGCTCATATTGACAGAGTTGGTTCGATGCATGCGTGTAGTCTTCATGTGTACATGGGAAACATCTTCTCGCTTCTCGCAAAGCAAGCTCGTCTAGCACACCCTTCGTTTGCTTGTTGTCATGCGAACCGGGTCTGCAGTTCGGAGATCAAGCAATGCAAGCTCATGCGGAGACACTTGCAGTGCTGCAGCAATCGCAAAAATCGCCAGATACATCGGTGAACAATAGGGGGACCTCAGGGGGAGGACCAAAAGGGGGGGGGGGGGGGAACCCTGACAGGGTTCTTTGTGTAACGCCCCCAACCACCCCCCCCCCCCCCCCCCCCCCCCAACCTTAACCCTCCGACGTATCGGAGATTAAGGCCCTCGAGTGCTGCTTGGCCCCGCAACCAAATGGTAAAACTCCCGCAAGCTCCGGAGCTAGTTGTCGTGGTGTTTGCGAGGTTTTGGAGGTTTTGGGGCGAGACAACACAAGAGTCCTCTTGAACACTACGTTTGTACTACCGGAAGACGATATTTGCGCGATATCTGCGGCGGCGGCGGGCGGGGCCGACGGACGGCGGCGGCGGGCGGCGGCGGCGGCGGGAGAAAAGCAAAAACCCCACAGTGTTGTGAAAAGACTGTGCCTCTGCTTTTGCCCCTCGCCGCAGCAAGAGCATTCGCCGGCTTCCAATACTTTTTTTTCAATACTCTTGAGAAACTAAGAAGTGGCCCATCGTGCCCCATCGTGCCATGGCTATTGTCTAATGGGTCGTTCCAGCTTGTTGTTGCCTACAGCATTTTCCGGCCCAAGTGCCAACCCACCGGCGAGGCGCGCAGCCCGCCGCGGAGCGGGACCACCGCTTCGCTAGCTCGGAGGTCAGGGCATGTGGCTGACAAGAGGGGGGGAGCCGGTGAGCCGGTCGCTGAGCAAACAAGACTCCCCGTCGACATTGGCATTGAAAGCAAGGCTGCCGCTACGGCCGTTGAGGGCAGGCGGACTGCGTGTCACGCAGGAGGGGCAGGTGCTGCAGCAGCCGTGAGCCCAGGCGGAAACAAAGTCGGTCGAAACCAGGACGCATGCTGCCGACGTGGCTCATTTTGAAGATATACATATGATTTGTTTCACCTGTCTGCAGTTGCTGACCGCAAGTCGGTTGTTTCAGCACCCATGCTGCTGCTGCCGATCATGCTTCGCTGGTGTGGTGCCATTTTGGATGCGCCGCACCCCTCCTCGACCGCGCTTGCGGCATCCAAGGATGCTCGGGCGCGGGGTGATTCATCGAGGACTGCACCATGCCATGCAGAAACGCAGGCAGGCACGGACTAACCGCCAGCTATGATACGTGCCTGGCGACGCTAAGTGCAACCTCGGGAGGGGCAACAGAACCTGTCGCCGTTGCCCCCAATGCGCGTGCGCACGATGATGCTGTTCAGCACGCACTCACGTCCATGTTGGGCGACGACGACTTTTTTGAAAGGAAACACAGCGAAGCTGTACTGCTTAGGGAACTAGGATCTACGACACGCCCTAGCCAAGCGTTGCCAGGAGCTCTTACCTCCATGCAGGCGAATGACCCGCTTGCAATACCTACTTTGCCAACCTCTCACACGCCTAGGCGCATGGCGTGTTGCGCGGGACATCGCGTTCCGGGTTTTTTTTCCCGCACCTTCTTGAAACTGCAAGTCTCATCGCGGTCCCAATGCAAGCGCCCAGGGCAAGCGCCTCGGCAGCACGACCAGTTTACGGTGGGCGCGTGGCCTGTGGCCGTGCCCGTGGGGGCCGCCACGACGCTGGCGCCTGACCTCATGCAGTTGGCCCGGCTTCGCCTCCCTCTCCTCGGCGGCTTCTTCCTACTACGGTGGCCATGTGCCTGTCTGCACCGCCCGCTGAGGTCTCAGCACTTCTGTGGCGCCGGCCTGAAGGCTGCCTTGGTCCTCTTTTCTTCCACCTGCGATGGGGGGGGGGGGAGGGAAAGGACCGCTCACCTCGACCCCAACCTACTAGGCGGCCTAGGCGTTGCCTCCGGCTCCTGCGCCAGGATGTCGGCCAGCGGATGGCAAGCATCGGCAGGCAGCGCGTTGCACGGCCACTGCGAGGATCCACCACCGGCTGGCCCAGCCTTGCGCGGCGGGGCCGCGGATTGCGGGGAGGCACGTGGAGGAGGAACTCACAATCCGCGCTCCACCTCCCGCCGACTTCATTCGCGAGGCGGCACAACCGCTGGGCCCCTCCGTTGAGCTCGCGGTAGCGGGTTTGTTTGCGCCGCCGTGCCGCTGCCAGGGCTACGCCATCGCACTCAGGCGCTTCGCGAATCGGGCTGCCGTCTCGCCGCGGCGGCGAAACCAAGGTGGCATCGCAACATAGAGCCACACCGCGGCGCCGTGGTGTTGGCGAGCCACTGTCGGGGGACGACGCATCCTTCCAGGCCGACGGCCTCCCGTGCTGCCTGCCCAGCTCATGCCCTTCTTGCGCCGCGTGTACGCGCGCACGTCCACACTCTCGTGGTGGGACGCCGATGGTCACGTCCACAATGTGCTGCAGCCCGCCCGCACTCTACGCCCTCAGCCAGCACGATGCCTTGCACGCAAGCGGACGAAGCAGGGCGAGTGAGTGTTTCGACGGCATCACAGCCTTTGTGGAATGGGAGGCAAGTGTCGCCGCCAACCTCGGCAAGACGCTGCCGCCGGGGGCCCAGGCGCCGCCCTGCATCGTTGCCTCGGCGAGACATGGCGAGACAAGCAACCCGGTGAGCGCGGGTTCGTCGCTTCGTCGCGATGGGTGTTCCCTTCGGGCACGACGAGTACGTCCAGGCGCTAGCCAGTAGCCGTGCAGAGGAGGAGCTCAATCCGCTGCGCCACCTGCCACAGCTCCCCGATATGCAGTTGCTCGCCTTTTTTGCGCAGCGCCTCGAGCGCAACACCTGGTCTTCAACCTACCGCTGTCGTCCATTGCCCCTTATGCACGTGCGCACGACGATGCCGTATGGAGCGCTCTCGCATCAATGTGGGGCGACGACGATGCCCGGTCAGATGCATGGCAAGTCGCGCGAGACATAGCGTTCTTGTCTCCTTCAACAGCGGTGCCGGCCCGCGATGGAGCGGTGCTCGCGCCACGGCAAGCCGGTGCCACGGCGGACGCACCCAGCATACGTGCGGCCGGAAAGGCGGCTGCACACTTGCGGGCCGCCGGCTGGGCAGCGTGCCTGTCCTGGGCACCTGCTTGCAGCCGGCAGCACCCTGTGCAGCGGCTGAGCCTGGGGACACGGCCGGCAGCAGCATCGACCCGGGCAATGGCTTGTCCATGCCCGTGGGACCCGCCACCACACTGGCGCACGACCACCGCTTAGGTCCAGCTCAACGGCTGCACGCAGGAGAGCGGCCAAGGCATCGGTTCCGGCGCGCGCACTGAGGTCGAACACGTCAGCAAACGTGCTAGCCAGCACCCTGGACTCTAGATGCCAGAGTGAGAATGTCGCAGGTCGCAACGCCGCAAACGCCACCATTCGGCTGTGCATCAGCGACGGCGGCAGGCACCTCCGCCCGCGCAAGGCTGTTGACGAAGGCTGTTGACGACGGCTGTAAATGCCTCAGCTGCTTGTAATGCTCGGCAGTTGGCCCGACAACCCTGGGGCTGCTCCGCGCTTAGTGCTACGCAACATGGCGGGGTACTGGCGGACGCCTGGCGGGATCGCGAGGGCCACAAGCGTAGTGTCGTCGCCTGGCACCAGCACCCCAGCTGTGAGCACTTGCCGAATGCGCGGGCACAGGCGTGCTCCCGGTGGGCCTCGTCGGTATCAGAACGCGCCTGCCTCGCCGCAGGGAGAGGTTGGGAGCTCGATTCGCGGACCAACCGCTTTACACGCCCACTTCCATCGCTGGACCGGCCTCCTTGCCGTCGCCGCGCGGCGAGCCTGCTCGAGCTCCGGGCGGCAGGAGCCGATGAATGTGATACGGGCGAGCTTCTGGCGGATGCGAGAGGCATGGAGTATGTGCCAGCCAGCCGCCTGCCGGTGCCGTGCAATGAGCGTGATGCTAGACGGGCGCACGTGTAAGGCGCAGGCAATGAAAATCAGATGCGACGTCTAACTGCGCATGAATGAAATGAATTGCTTGTGACAACCACTCAACAGACGCCAACTTCCAATTCCCCAAATGATGCCAACATTCCGCAGTGCTCGGTTGTTCCAACACACGAATCACCCATCGATTAAATGGCAATTTTCAATGTAAGTGGCCAATTTCCACTTGCCGAAGGCTGCCCCTTCCACTATATCTCGAGCTCTCATGCCAAGCATTCCGATCCTCGTTGTTCCAAACATGAAGAGTTTCATGCCACGGGTCATCCCACAAAATGTTTCCAAGTGGTCCCACCACTCCACGAAGCAACCGCCTGCAACATCCAGACGGTGCAGGTCAGGTTTGTCAATAGTTCTGTGCCCCCCGCGACACAGAACATGCCACTGGCGAAACAACGGTAGCAAGTATTTTCAATCGTGTAGACAAGGAAACGTGGCGAAAGGAAGCGAACTGTAAAGTCTTGTTATGGTTACTGCTGCTGCTGTGCGCCGCACCGGGCTGCCACTACCTTGCGCACCGTGCCGCCGAACCTCACGGACGAACACACCGCTGCCCAGGATGCAGCGATCTCGCGCTGCCACACACTTTACGGGCGCATGCACTTGCTACTCGCTGGGGACGCGGAGTGCTGCGGCAGTGGGAAGCGCAGGGACGGCACGCGGTCCGCCAGGGCCCGCCTGGGACAGGAACAGGAGCAACACGCGAGAAGCCGGATCAAAGTCTCGCAGGCGGCGTGGCGGCGCGCTGCCATCCCCGCAACGGTCGCCCGGGGTAGTTTCGGGTGCTGGCGGCGGGGAGAGCATCCCAAGCTGGCACGGCAAACCCATGCGCCTGCAAACGCACTACTGCGTGACGAGGATGGCCTGCGATGGCCTGCGGCAGGGTTTCGGGCGCGGAGCGGGGGCGCGGCAAGCGAGCATGCCCCTCCAGGTTTAGCCTTGTTGAGACGCCTTCGCGGTCATTTCTTGTCCGTTGATGCCGGTCAAATGGCGGCCTGAATTCAACGGTCTGCCGTTGTCATACTAGGACAGTCGATTCATATGATGGAGGACGAAGCGAGTGCAGCCTCAATTTCTGTGTTGTTCTCGTTGGTTTTTCGGCACGCCGGTCTGCGGGCAGGGCGACTGCCACAAAAATCCAAAAAGAGTTCAACTGAAGCCGCTGCGTCGCACAGCATCTTGGGTCTGCCGTCCTTATGCTTTCTATTTCGGGTGCAATCGGGGCCTAATCGGGGTGCGAGAAAGGGCTGGGAGAATGTGGGCGGGGACCTTTGCACGCTTGTCGCCCACACCGACGAGCCGACGAGTCGGCCAGACATTCTCGGGTTGGCATGGCCAACTGCTAAGGGGGCCTCAGGGCCTACTTGGAGGTTCAGGATACTTCTGAACCAGTTCTCCAGTTCTAAGTGGTTATAATTTGGGTGATAAGTACAGTTATAATTGGCTAATAAGGACCATGGACCTTCAAGTACAGCCAATACTATGCTGCTTCATTCTACGCCGAGTCGCCCTTCAGGGCATAAAACCCCATGACACACATCAAGGAGCAGGGGATTAAGCTCCGTCTACGTCAACACACAGGTATGCGGTATACACGTACGTCGGTACATACGTCGGCATGACATAATGACATACATACTACACGTCTCAGGCAGGAAACAGGGGAACCTTTCCAAAGTGATAAGGGTCATTTTCCAACAAATAATAATACTTATGGTTATGAGTCTTACTATTTTGATTATTATTATTTTTATTATGATTAGTAGTATTATTATTATTATTATGATTATTATTATGATTATGATTCGTATTATTATATTGGTTTCTTGTTGTTATTGTTATTACTGTTATTTAGAAGTTGGGCCTGCAAGGTGATACCGGCAGCTGCGAGCCGGACCCAGCCAGAGTCGATGGTCATCTGCCCGCTGGCAACGAGGTACCGGGCAGGGGGCCAGCAGCCAATGTGCCAAACGACGGACAAGCCTTTTAGGGCTTTCGGGTTTTTGGTCATTTTTGGGCTTTTTATGGGTTTTTTGGTGTTTTTTGGGGTTTTTTATGGGTTGTTATGGGTTTTTATGGGTTTTTGGGTCTTTGGGTTTTTTGGTTTTTGGGTTTTTTGGGTTTAGGGTTCTAAGGAGACAGCGCCCGAATTTCGAGCAGAATCACCACCATACCGCAACAGCGAATTACTATCTGCAGCTGCTAACAAGGGCCCCCCGGCCGCCGTAGAGTTTTATCGGAACCCAAAACTTTCGCAAGAGCTCAAGCCAAGCCAGGAAACGGTCCAGACGAGCATTCAAGGAGTCGATGAGATCTTCACCTGGCACAAGATGCAAGAAGCCTCTTTGTGACACTCTTTCTCTTAGTGGCTCTTCCTGCCATCAAAGCTGCTGACCGTCAAGCTGACTCCCTGGAGACCGTTCCGGTCCATAGCGCCACCTGCACAGCCACCGCAGAAGCATGAAGGCAGCCGGGGATCGAGGTAAAACCATAAGGGCCTGGTGAGTTCAAGTGATGGTTCAGCCCACCGGCGCCGAAACGCAGCATCCGCCGCACCTGAGCAGGCCCGCAGGACTCTGGGGTCTCCCAACGGGCTGTCACGTCCCGCAGATCGGCCGCACCTTCGCGGGGAAGTTCCGCACCAGCCAGCTGACGTGAAAGGGAGGATCAGCAGACCGATCGCATGAGATGTTGAAGCTCTCCACGCCACGCGGTCCCCCGCAACGGTCTTTCTGGCACCGGCCCAGCACCTCAGCAGAATGGCGGACGAACGGCGCGAATGGCGAAGTCGATGACTGACAAACGATGACCGGATGCCAGATTCCACAGCCTACTCTAGGGGCCTACATAGGGTTTTGGGGGGGTTGTTATAGTTATAGTTACAAGGGACCATAATAAGGGAATACTACTAGTAAAATTATGGCGACCCCTATATTACTCAAGGGAGACTGCAGGCTGGCGGCTGGGTTGGTCGCAGCGCTGGCCCAGGATGGAACCGATCGGGCACACCACTGCTTCCCAAAGAAGCAGGCGTCGCCTTGCTGCGTCACATGTCGTGTCAGGAAATTTCTACCGCTGGGCCTCCAACTTGCTCCAATCTACTCCCAAAACAGCCGCTGCAAGCCTTCGGCGCAAAACTCGAACTCACGGCGCATATGGACGTCGTCATTGGACCCTTGTGCGCAGCTGCAGGGGCAGCGGTCAGACTGCAGGACCTGCAGCGTGGGTGTGGGAGTGCACACATTGGCAGCCCCCCCCCCTTAATAAAAAAACCATGTGTGTGTGGGGGGAGGGGGGGCAACCGGTGGCAAGCATTGGGGGCACAAGCCACGGAGCGTGGCGGGACGCGCTCCCAGGCAGCGATGCATCGCCAGAGCTGCCAGGACTCCCAAAAGCACCAGAGGCCAACCAGCAAGCTCCAGACCAGCAGGCCTCAGGGGAGTGCTGAGGGCAACTTTTGGTTGGGTGGTTTGTTTGTTCTTGATGCCCGCTTTTCCCAGCGTCTTTGTCGAGTTTGTTTGCGTTTTGGGTTGGGCTTCGAGTTCAGGAAGCCTGGGGCGTCTTGGGTGTTTGTGAGGAGCACTCAGATCAACAAAATCCCGGGACTGCCTCCAACTATGAGATGAGGCTTGCACGGCAGCTTGGCCTCCGGCACAACACACCAACGCTATCAACCACTGCCTTTCACTACGGTAGCCCTCCTCCCCGGCCTGGAATGGAAAGTACGACGAAGGCCGCGCCTCGTTACAAATGTTGCGGGGCAGAAGGGGCCCCAAGCTGGCTGTATGTATGTGTTATCTATATATATATATATATGATTTATGTATATATGTATGATTATTTAAAATAGAGATATGCATGTCTAAAAACAAATATATATATATATATATATATATGGGTACATGCCTATCCCCCCCCCCTACCTTTTGTGCAATTTCCGTCTTTTGCACTTTGTCTGCACTCGATGTTTCTATTATGTGTGCCAAAACCCCACCCGCACCAACGTACCAACGTCCCAATCATTTGAGCCCATGATTGGGACAAAACCCCAGCCGCACCAACGTACCAACGTCCCAATCATTTGGGCCCATGATTGGGACAAAACCCCAACCGCACCAACGTACCAACGTCCCAATCATTTGAGCCCATGATTGGGGCAAGAACCCGACCGCACCAATGTACCAACGTCCCAATCATTTCGGCCTATGATGGCACGGGATGAACTAATGTACCAATGTACCAATGTACCAATCATGTCGGCCCATGATTGGTACACAGGATGAACCAATGTACCAATGTACCAATGTACCAATGTACCAATGTACCAATGTACCAATGTACCAATGGTACCAATGTACCAATGTACCAATGTACCAATGTACCAATGTACCAATGTACCAATGTACCAATGTACCAATGTACCAATGTACCAATGTACCAATGTACCAATCATTTCGGCCCATGATTGGTGCATAGGATGTTTGTACCAATCATGGGCCCAAATCATTGGTACATTGGTACATTGGGTCATGGGTCGTCCTTTGCACCAATCATGGGCCCAAATCATTGGTACATTGGTACATTGGTACATTGGGTCCTGGGTCGTCCTTTGCACCAATCATGGGCCCAAATCATTGGTACATTGGTTCATTGGTTCATTGGTTCGTTGCTGCGTTGGCACTGTCAGTAAACCCTAAACCCTCTGTGTATGTATGTAGGGTGTATGTGTTGCATGAAAAGGTAGAACTTCTACCCACGTCGCCGTGTAGGTATATTATTCTTATTGTATATCAAATAGAGAAAGTGTAGAGGGAAGGACGGTATTCTCAAACCATAAAACTAGGAAGCATTTGATGGCATAGGGTGATGCGAACAAATCCATTATATGTAGGTCCCAGGGAAGCGAGAACACTGTGAGCAAATACATCTATTCGTCCAAGATTTGGGCCAAACCGTATTCGCTTTACATTTAGTTAAACAACAACGTTGGCTATCAACCCTAAACCCATGCCAAGGTGACTATATATATCAACTTCTTCGGTTTTTTGGGGGGGAGTGTTCTGGGTACAGTAGCTATAATGGAACACCAAAGGTGTTTATAAACAGGGTCGGTGATTATAAACAGGTGTTGTGTTAAGTATAGTATACAAGTATATTCAATACTCATTATATCTTTTCTTTTGATCAACACCACATACGCCCCAGGTCGGTCCCAGGAAATAGTGAAAGGAGATTGCTCAGAGTATTCTCGCATCCCCGGGGCTTATAGTCAAAGATTTTTCGCATCACCCTATGCACTGGAGTACTTCCTAGTCTTATGGCTCGAGACTTACCATCCTTCCTTCTCCATTATCTGTATTTGACATACAATACATACACCCTATATACACATGATGTGGGTACTTCCTTGTACTTACTTTTCCTGCATTTCCACAGAAGGCAAGCCCTACACTCTACAAACATAGGCATAACCCAATGGAAATTAGGGTTTAGGGATTTACGCCTCAAGCCCTCAGAGCCTTAAACCTTTAAGGTTTAAACTTTATAGGCAGGGTTTAAACTTTATAGGGCGAACCCCGTCAGGGCTTCAGAGAGAAACCCTGAAAAACCCAAAGCCTTTAAACCCTGTTGAAGGTTTACATGCCTAAACCTGAGGCATCGATTCCTAAGCTTTATATGCATTTAAACCGAAAGTCTGGGCATTTATGCCTTCAGCGCCTATAGCGTGAAAACCTTTGAACCTTTCAGAGCCCTATAGGGTTTTAGCGTTCTGACCCTAAAAGGGTTTAAGGTTCAAATGCCTAAACCTTAAACCCTCAAGGTTTAAACTCGTTTAAACTCTCAAGTCTTCACACCTAAACCTTCAAACCTTAACCCTATAGGGTTTAAAGGTGAAGGGTGATGTGGTTCTTTGCATTTGCACGGGAGGCAAGCCCTACATATACATAGGCATAACCCTATAGGAATTAGGGTTTGGGGATTTAAGCCTCAAGCCCTCTAAGCCTTAAACCTTTAAGGTTTAAACTCTCTAGGCAGGGTTTAACCCCCTATAGGGCTAACCCCGTTAGGGCTTTAGAGGTAAACCCTGAGAAGCCCTAAGCCTTTAAACCCTATAGGTTTAAATGCCTAAACCTGAGGCAAAGATTCCTAAACTTTATGTGTGTTTAAACCTAAAGTCTGGGCATTTATACCTTCAGCACCTATAGGGTTAAGACCTTTGAACCTTTTAGAGCCCTATGGGGCTTTAGAGTTCTGACCCTAAAAGGGTTTAAGGCTTGAATGCCTAAACCTTAAACCCTTAAGGTTTAAATTCTAAATATGCGCTTAAGTTTAAACTCTTAACGCCTAAACCTTTAAACCTGAATCCTATGGGGTTTAAAGGTTAAGGGTTTAGGTTTATTGTCGGCTTAAGTTTAAACGCCTAAATGTTAAACCCTAAACCATTAAACCATAAACCCTATAAGGTTTAAAGTTTAAGGGTTACGTCTAATTGACGGCTTAGGCTTAAATGCCTAAATCTTAAACCCCAAGCCTTTAAAATGTATACATCTTGGAATGGGGTCTGACCCGACGTCTTGATCGAATAAGGCGTTGATAAATCTGAGCCTTAAACGAGTAGGGTTTATGAGCTATTTACTTGTGATGCTTGAGGCTAGTTATAAATGAGTCTTATCCTGAAAAAAAGATAACTCTTTCGGGGGGCCCTTTGGGAAACATTGAGATGAAAATCCACATGCTTGCGAGCAAGTTGGGCTTTTGGAAGGCCCAGAGCCCGGATCATAGTGAAAGGATATTTGCTCACAGTACTCTTCCTTCCCCGGGGCCTACAGCAATAGATCTATTCGCATCACCCTATGCCCTCAAATACTTCCCAGTCTTACGGGCGTTTCCGGGTGGTAGGGTTTCTAGATGTTTGCGGTGACTGCGTTTATGAGCAGTGGCTGTGTTTATAAACATGGCTGTGTTTATAAACAGTAGCTGTGTCTATGGACATGGCTGTGCTATAATTATTAGGCTACTGCATCAAGACACGGAAAGACTGGCTACTGTATGAAGACATTGAAAGAGCGGGGGGGGGGGGATAGGCGGCAGCCCATATATATATATATACATATATACATATATACATATATATATAAGATTATTTAGAATAGAGATATGCATGTCTAAAAAAAAAAATATATATATATATATATATATATATCGTGGTGCGACCGCGGCAGTCGCCACTCGTTCTGGGCAGGCTGCGCCATCATCCGAGCTGTCCGAGCTGGTGCCGGCCACCATGCAATGCGGCTACACGTGACACATGCCACAGTGAGCACTGGCTTAGGGTTTTGGGTTTAAGGTTTAGGGTTGAGGGTTGAGGGTTTAGGGCTTCAGTTTATTAACACCAAGTACTCCTGCGCAGCCTGGCGAAGATTCAGGCTCTCAAGCTTTCTCCAACCCTCCGATTCACAGGGCCCTAGGGAGACTTGCAGTCCGTGTGCATGTCTGCTCATGTCTCAGCCCGGGCCGAGCTGCGGAGCAAGCATGAAGTAGACCAGCTGAAAAACTACACAGGGGGTTTAGGGTGAGGAGTCAACTCAAAGGCAGAGGATCCGTTTCCAGGTGTTTTCGAGATCCACAACAGAGCGATCTTCTGAGCAGATGCAGCTCAGGCCAGGAAGGCGCTGGGACGTCGGCAGGCGTTGACGAACAACATGCCAGGGGCAATCGCCGGGGGTCCGGTGGCTCCCGATCCCAGGTCAAAGGCGGACACTTCTGCGGGATCTCGCTCGTCGATCCGGCCATCCCCGTTCGCGTCGCGCAGGGCGTAGGTGATACCACCTGCAGACCAGTTGATGTAGACAGTGCCTCGCCCGTCAATGGTCGCACCCGAAAAAAGGTCGGGCATGCAGGGCTGCAGAAACGTGGAGCCGGCGGCTCCATGGTGGTGCCATGGTGGCGGCTCGAAGGTCCAGAGGGTTTCACCGTCCGTCACATCTACGGCAACAACGGTGCCCTTGAGGAGATCTGGGATTGGCAGTGGGGCCCCAGGAGGACCGCCCTGCCCTACGATGGCCGCCGTCCTCCCCGGATGGCCGTACCTAAGTCTGGGCTCGAGCCTACTGTGAACCCAGGCCCAAAAAAAGACCCTGACCCCGATCTCTAATCGCCTAGAACTTAAACGAACTCAAACAAACACCCTGAGCACGACCTAGAAGGAACCAGTTTTCAGCCTGAGAAGCACCCTGCCCACGGCGGGCGCGTTGTGGATCTCTTGTGGGAAGCTCTTAGCCCAGAGGCGCTCCCCGGAGCTGAGGTTGAGTGCTTGAAGACCGCCAGAGCCGTCTTCCTTTGAGAACCCATTGAAGACCAGGCCTTCTCCACAGGCCACACCTCCTTGGCATTCCAGTCAACTTAGGAAGTTTCGACTCGGCCTCCGAACCCTGTTGCCTGGGAACTTCGTGTGCCTTTCGCCCGCTGCCGCTCCCAAAGCTGGCAGCAAACGGGGGAGTCAGGCTGTTGCGCATGTCGCGGCAGTGAGCTGCTGCTTTCGTTACGGTGTGCTGCCCTTGTTCCCACTTAAAGAGGGGACCCCCCAGAACCCCATGAAGCCTTGTAGAGGTCCCCACACACACTCGAGAAGAAGACCTGAAATCAAAAACGCACAACAGAACCATAAGAACCTTGACCCCTAGCTAACCTCAAAGTGTTCCACGAGAGGTTTCCAAAGGATTCCAAGGGCTCCAAAATTTATGCTTCCAAAGGATTCCAATGGGTTCCAGACAGTTCCAAACGGTTTTCAAAACGGCTCCGAGCTGCCGAGGGTGAAGGTGCCGGCGTTCTCTGGAGGACTCCGCCAGAGCTCCGAGCCATCCTGCGCGAGGATCTCTGCATTGAAAGGGATTCGAGGGATCCAGCTTCTCAGGGTTTAGGGTTTAGGGTTTTGGGGTTTAGGGTTTAGGGTTTAGGGTTTAGGGTTAAGGGTTAAGGGTTTAGGGTTTTCCATAGGTTAGGCCTGTATAGGGGCTTTGTTCTGGGCTTCAGGGGGCGGGGGGAGGGGGGGGGAGGGGGGGGGGGTTGAGGACTTGAGATCTGCAACTGTCATCACCCGGGCATTGGCAACTGAAGCACGCACAGCAGTGGGGGCGTCGCAAAGCCAGTTGTCTGGAATGGCTCCATCCACCAGAATCCGGCAGTGCGCAGCCACACCCCTCCCCTCACTCTACTGCCGGAAAACCAGACCCTGCAAATTCAATGCAGCCGGCTTCCTCCACACTCAATCGGTAGATGCCACCACTGGTGTCGCTGGTGACGATAGAATCCTTCGGCGAGAACACACAAATCCGTCATGAAAGCATCTTGGGAAATAAAAATGTTTCAGGCTTCGGATCCGAGTTAAGAATGCCACAGTGTAACGTACTACCATGCAGGTTATGGTAACAACAGAACGGCTATTGATGGCGCAACGAGCACGATGACGAGACTGAAAAAGTGTGATGCTGCTCAGGGCTCAAAAAAATGTTCGGGGTGCGGCCTTTTAGCGCCTAGGTTGCCAGGGCAACCACAGGCTACCATAAGCTATTTGCTAACGTGTCCAACAGTGTCACGAAAACAGGAGCACCTTTCCATAGCGATTGCGGACCCTTTTTCCTTCACCACTATTTGTAAACAAACTGCACGGCCACTTGCCAGTCAGCATTGCTGTTACGACACAAAGTAGGAGACCTTCTCTGGCAATTGCGGCAGAAAAGCCCCCAGAGGCCCCGAAACCCTTCAAGGGCCCGGGACTCTCCTCAAAAAGACATGGCGCCATGTTGATGGTGTGGGCGCCTCCGGCAAAAAAAAACAGCTTTGGGCATAGGGTTCAGGGTTTAGGTTTCATCTAGGGTTTACGGTGCAGGGGTTCAGGACCCTGGTTGCGCCCCCACAAGGAGCCTGGGGAGTGCGCGGAGATGTTGTAGGTCCACCTGAAGGCGCAAGGGCCCCTTCGAACCGAAAATCCCCAAACCGAAAAACCCATTAGGAGGAACAAAGGGAAAGCAGGGAAAAGAAGCAGTCGAAATAGTAGCAACTAAACAATAACAGGCAATCACACACACGATCTCGAAGGAAACCTAACCCTTGCCGCGACCGGAACTGCAAGACATCCCAGAGATCTGGATTGTTTAGCCCCTATATTTTAGGCCCCTCATTTAGGCCCCCCTAATTTAGGTCCCCTAATTTAGGCCCCTACAATTAAGGCCCCTATAGTTTAGGCCCCTACTCAACTTAGGCCCCTATAACTTAGGCTGCTCTAAAGGCCCCACCGGACGTCGCCACTTGCGCGCTCGAGCAGAGCCAGGCCATTCGCTCCGCCCGTCATGTGCCCCATGTCCTGAAGCTGCTCAAGAGATGTGGGGGTTTACCAACAAAAATAAATATAATAATAGTAATGATAATAATAATAATAATGATCATAATAATAATGATAATAATAATAATGATAATAATAATCATGATAATAATAATAATAATAATAATAATAATAATAATAATAATAATAATAATAATATAATTTAAGATATATATATATATGTAAAAAAGAAAAAGACAGGACCCCTCATATAGACCCCCAAAGAGTAGGATGCCCTTACAAAAAGGAAAGGAGCCCAATAAGGTACCCCCCCCCCGAATGTCGGAAACCCCCACATCGTGGGGTACGAGATCTGCCTTCAGAGAAAGAAAAAGCCTTTGAGAGGTAAGCAGAGGTTCACCATAGGGTACCACAACGTAGCTCGCGGTGGCGCTCACAGTATACGTGTCAGTAGGCAGGCTGTCCGTGAGCTTGCGAGACCAAACTTCCTTCCCTTCATCCATGGTCAGAGCCAGGACCACTCCATTTGCACAAGAGGTGTAGAGCACGCCCTCCAGAATGGTTGGGTTTTGGCAGTTGGACGCTCCGGTTGCCACCTCCCAACGCTTCCACCCGGCCTTCGTAAAAGAGAAGATCATTCCCTGGTCGCTGCCGGTATACACCTTCCATGGATGGAGAGCTGCACTACGTAACGTTGTGAAGAACACCCTGATGATTCCAAAACGGTGTTTTCCGTAAGGTAGATTTGTCAAAGATAGGGTCAATCTAAAGCTAACTGAAAAGCTGGGACACTCCGCACTTTTCCTGGGTTCGCTGCGGTGTGTGTCCTTGTTCGAGCCTGTCGTCGACAAGACGTTCCGAGGCTCTGGTGTGCATTCCACATGCACCTGGTGCACAGCTTCCTGTACTGCGTAGATGTTTAACACCCCGCCTTCGAAGCTGGTGAAAGTCGTTCCTAGACTAAGCTAGCTTCGACTGTCGTGGGCTAAGTTGATTACTCGGATCATTTTCCTTTAGTCAACAAAAGCGAAAACAAAGTTCCTGAAAGTTGCCAGTAGAACGGATACTCCATCCTTTGTTCTGGCTTCCTTCTCATCTTGAAACTCACTCCTCACTGCTCGACTGAGCGCTGCTGATCCTTCCTCTGCTTTTCCTTGCTTCTCTTCTCCTTCGCTTCTTTTCCTTCCTTCATCCTTTCACTTGCTTCTCCTGTTCCTTGCAGATCCTTCCTCCATCTTCATCTTCGCTGTCCTTGATCCACAAGTTCTGGTTCACGTCGTAGTAGAGCCATGCCTTTGTGGCCTGCACCCATTTCCACTGGAAATCTGATCCTTCGTAAGGAAAGATCGCATACAGTTCCTGAGCTCCTTCACTTCCTCCAACTCTGAATTGGCTTCGATCCTGTGGGCCAATCGCCTTGTCCTTCTTCTTTCCTTCTCCTGTGCTTCCTTCACTGTCTGTGGCCTTCTTGAGCTCTTCCTGAAGCGAGACGATCTTCCTTTTGTCTGAAGCTTGCTGTTCCTTCATTCCTCTGACCAACTCACGAAGCTGGGCCATCTCAATCCTCAAACTTTCATTTTCATCTTCCTTTCCTTCTCTTGTTGCTGGCTCTTGCTTCTTCCTCTCTGCTTCTGCTGCTGCTGCCTCTCGTCTCTTCCTTTCTGCTTCTGCCGCTGCTGCTGCCTCTCGTCTCTTCCTGTCCTTTTCCTCTGCTGCTGCTGCTGCCTGCCTTTTCTTCCTTTCCTCTTCTGCTGCGGCTTCCTGCTTCTTCCTTCCTTCTTTTGCTGCTGCTTCCTGCTTCTTCCTTTCCTCTTCTGCTGTGGCTTCCTGTCTTTTCCTTTCCTCTTCTGCTTCTTCCTTCTCCTTCCTGGCTTTCTCCTCGGCTTTCCTCTTCCTGATTCTTTCTCGCCTTTCGCGTTCCTTCTGCCACTTCTTCTCATCCTTCTCTGCCTGCTTCTCTGCTTCCTGTGTGGCTCCCTCTTCCTGTGGTGTAACTCCTGCTGCTTCAGCGACTGCTGCGCTTGCCTGCTTGTCAGAGCTGCTGCTCGCTCCTGTGGCTGTGTTCTTGGTGCTTCCTTTTCCTGGTCCTTTTCCTTTTCCTTCCTTTCCTTTCTGGTACTTGTAGACGTAGTCGACGCCAACTTCGACCTTCTCGCCCGTGATCCTGTGCTGCTTGTACACCTTGCCATTCTCCACGTAGATCTTGTACTCGGTGTCGTCGTAGGGGTACGCAAAACCTCTTTCCTTTTCCTTCTCCTCTTCTTCTCTTTTCCTCAGCTCCTCATTCACTTTCCTGATCTTCTCTTTCCTCTCCTTTTCCTTCCTCTTTTCCTCCTGCGTTGATGTAGTAGACGCCGACGAAGATCTTGGTGTGATAGAACTCGATCCTTCTTCTTCTTCTTTACTTCCTTCTTCTCCTCGACCATGTCCTGTTCTTCGTAGCTCTCTTTCCATCTCTGCTCCTCTTTCTTCTTCTTGAAGCTTCCACCAAATCATTCCTTTGATCTCTTCTTCTTCCTTCTCGTACTCGGCGATCTTGGTCTCCAAAGCTTCTATCCTTTCCTTCAAGTGCCTGAGCAACTCCACATCTCGCAGGTGTTGGTCCTCAATCTGTTCCTTGAGGTTTGCCTGTTCGCGACGCTGTTCTCTGAGCAACACGTTCGTGGTTCCTTGGGCTTCTTTCAACTGGTTCAACTGAGAGGTGAGCTCTCTGAACCAACGTTCCTTCTCGGAGGCACTCGGTTCCATAGCTGCTACTTCCTTCTCTACAGCTACTGTCTCTTCCTTTTCAAGGTTCCTAAAACAGAGGTCCTTCACTCGAGGCATCGAGCTGCAAATGTTTCCTACCTCAAGCTGTTCCTGCAATCCTAATGCACATGCACTCGTGTCACTGCACATGCCGACATGTTCCTGCACAGTTCCTACACATGTACTGCACGACTGCAAAAGACATGTTCCTGAAGCTACTTCAACCTTTGAGCAACCTTCCAAACTTCCTGAAAGCAAAGAGAAAAACAAAGCTGCAAATGCGAAGTTTCCTTTGGACTTGATTCTCTTGACTGTGGCCTTAGCTTGTTCCTGCTGTCGATGTTCTTGAAGCTCTTCAATTCCTACTGGTTGGTTTTGTTCGTCCTTGAAGCCTAGCCAATGCATCAACAACTTAATGCGTTTTCCTGAAAGCGGCTTAGTTCCTATATCAGCAGTGTTATCCCTGGTACCTACCGGGTGGACACTAAGAATTCCTTGTTTGTGGAGGTCCTGGAGAAAGAGGGTCCTAATCTGCAAATGTTTCACTCTTCCTACTCCCTGCCTGGTAATGATACCACGAGCAGCGGGAGAATCTAGATGCAAATGCACTACGCACTTCCTACAGGTGAGGAATTCTATCGCTTCCTTGAGCAACAAAGAGTCACTAGCTGAACTAGCTGCGGCGTAATATTCTGCCTCTCCAGAAGACAGAGAAATACTCCTTTGGGTCCTAGAGAATGCATAGATCAGTTGAGAATCCAGAAACACAGTTCCTGAACTTGTGCTGCGACGACTGTCTTTCTGTCCTGCCCAATCTGAATCGGAGTATACCTCCAACAAGTGATGTTCCTTGGGTTTGACTTGGGAAAAGTCATAGGTTCCGTTGCGAATGCTCTCGTTGAGGTTTGACATTCCTCGAGGTGTTTTCCTATACGTGCAATGGTAACCATCTGTCTTTGTCATGTACTGCACAACATGAATCAACTGCTTCTTAGCTGCAAATGTTGGCAATGACATCTTGGACGCTAAACCTCTTACTGCGAACTGCAGATCCGGCCTGTCCTGACAAACATATAGGAGGATTCCTACACACTTCCTAAACGAAGCTGCTTGTTCCTGGTCAAGAGGGTTTGTGTTGTCTACTGCCTGGCTCTCCTGTGTGCACGGCGTCGGCTTTGATGCCTTTCCTGTCAACTTGAGTTCTTCACGAAGTTTTCCAAGATACTTTGGGTCACTGTGAATGTGAAGTTCATGATTGTGATACGAGTACTTTCTTTTGAGAAATCTCACCGTCTGAAGCGACTCGCCAATAGCAAGTTCCTGCGCGGTAAGAAACGGTCCTTCAATCTTCAGCTCGTACACTCGTCCTAGACTCTTTAGTACAGGGTCGACATGATGACTCTTTCCTGCTGCTTGAATGTCATCAACATGAACCACAAGAATGCTTTTCCGTGAGTCTCGAAACAGAGTTGGACAAGCTACACTTCTCTCAAAGTCTTGTTCCTTAAGCGAATCACTAAAATGATCCGACCAAAGCAAAGCTGCGTCTCTCTGTCCTGGCAACACTCGGAGCAAGAGTAGTCCTTCCTGAAGACAAGAGGGATCAGTGTCCTGAAACAGCTCCACATATTCCTTCGGGAATTCACACGCCGTTCTAGTCCTTTGCGGTACTTGCAAAAACGCATCTTTGACGTCAATGCTGTAGACTGAAAACTCTTCCTGAAGAGCAATCACGGGGACTAACCTTGTGAGGCTTGCTGACGTGGCTGGTGAGAACACATCGCTTCTGTGTTCAGTTCCTTTAAATTCACGAGCCACTAGCCTAGCCCGTCTTTTCCAAGACCCTGACCTGAACCGCCAATCGAACACGAATTTGTTGTGAGCCATTTTATGGGTTCCTGTTCGATCTCTTCTCTCTCATTCTCTCCATCGTCTCTCTTGTGCCAACCAAGTTCCTCCAGCGGTTTCCTAGCCAGTGCCTGCATTCCTGAAAGTCTCTCCATCTCGGTGATCATGGCCTCTCTGTCCTTGGTCTTGAGCTCTTCCGCTGAAAGCTCTGGTGGTCCTGCGTCCTCATCGTTGAAAACTCTCTCTCTCTCCTCTTCGTCTTCTTCTTCTTCATCTCCTATATCTGAGTATGTGTCCTCCCAACAGATGTCGTCAAGTCCTGGCTCAGGGAGAGGTTCGTCGTTGTGCTCAAACACGCGTCCTGCGTTAAACGGTGGAAATTTCCTCTTCGGCGACTCGTCGGTCCTTGGGATTTTGGACGAAGTTCCTACGTCTTCATACTCATGCTTCTGACTGCTGCCGGTGCTCTAGGCAACAAAAGTTCACTACCTTGACTCTCTTGCTTCTCTTGGTCAGTGCTCATGCTGTCACTACCTGCTTCATCAGATTCTGGTCCTCTGTTTTGCAGATGACTCAGCTGACTTGTAGGCGTTGCATCACTGCCTGCCTCATCAGGTCCTGGGTCTATCCACTCAGGTGCTGCAGGTTCTGCTTGCAGTTGTTCTTGTTCCTTTGCCTTCTTTGCCATTGCATGAAGGTTCGTGTTTCTTGGGGTGACTGTTCCTAACGGTTTTGGTGTACTCGCCCCGCCTGCGATGACAGGTGTCTGTATTCCAGGAGTAATGGCTCCAATGCCATGTTGATCTCCTAGAGGCTCCACCACTGTCACAGGCGCTGGTGTTCCTGAGGGGCCTGGTAGGTTCTTCCTAGGAACTACGCGAGTTGTGAGCGTTGTGTGCTTCACTTCCCAAGTGTGGATTCCTACACTAGTTCGTGCTTCCAGGTCAAAATGATGGGGGCATCTCTTCACAGATCTACTGGTCTTGATGCCATCCATGTGCCACGTAATGAAGAGGTTGTTGTCAGTCTTTCCTAAGAAAAC